TTTTTAAGTCTCTTTATTCTTTATTGTGTTTTCCATTTTTTACAATAGAAAAGTCTTTACAAGTGCTGTTTTCGAAAACCTTTTCTTTTTTCCTATCAATATAAATATGCTTGTTCATTGCTTGGAATGTAAACAAACCAACTAGGGGCTGAATTTAAGTCAGAATGCAATGTCTAAAACGTTGTGGACTAATAAATTTTTGACACATACCACATGATTTCAAAATTAACTTTATAAATTCAAAATTGTTATTGAAAGAAAACAGTCCTCCAAAACTAAGTTTAAAATAAACATTTTTAGAGATTCACAATTCATGTAGCTATTAAAAGAAACCGCTGATAAGGGTGCAGAAAATACTAACTTCAGTGATGAAATAAATTGGCTTTTCTAACTAAAATGTGTTATAAATATATATTTGTTAAAAATTATATTCACATTACGTATATGAAAAAATTACCCTTAAGTTTACCTAAATTTTCTGAAAACCGAAAATTTTGTTTGTTTATATTCTTAGGTGAGCATAGCTTACAAACATTTGGGTATTATTGAAATTGTATTATGATAAATGGGTTCTGTTATTTGTCAATGTCTGGGGAAAAAGCCCACTAATCAATTCCTGATGAGTTATTCTGAGTGAGAAATTCATGTATGAAAGATTTATTTTTTAAAATGTGTAATGTAAATATGAATTCATTTTTATGCTTCTCATCTTCAAGAATATACCTAATATCAGGTTTGTTCCTAGGCATTGGCTGGCTGCATGCTTTCCCAAGATTGCCACCCTGAAATTTGGGAAAAAAGTGTTTAATGATTAATAAAATTTTTATTTCGTGCTCACAAAATACTTACATTTGACAAATTGTATAAAAAGTTCTTACATGTGACAAGTACTTACAATGAATTTAAAATTTGCCGCTCGCATATTGGCACCTTCGGTAGCATTGCACCTTCGATAGGAATGGCCCTGCCTAATATCAAATATTTCAGAATAATATTTCTAAAAGGATTTTTACTTCTTATCTTAAACTTTGCATAGGAGGTACCAAAAATTGCCAAAATGACATCACTGCAAGCAAGCATTTTATGATTAGAGATTGTGCTTTGTTAACTTAGGAAATTATATCCACACCTATTTGCAAAGGAGCATGAATATGATTGTAGTGGTTCGACCTCAATGCTGATTTGTGTGCATCTTTGCTTGCAGCATACTGTAATTTTTGTAATGTGGGATTAGGAAGAACAAAATGTGTGCTGAAATTTTGTTTTTTGTGAAGTTTCAATATTATTATGCTTCAGGAAACCTTTAAAGAAGATGCATCCCCCCCCAAAAAAACGAAGTTTGCAAGTAGTTTTTCAGGTTCAGAAATTCCAAACTATCAAATGAGGGCTACTGAAACTTCGACATTCATTAGGAGGCTGAAATAAGAAGAACAGGAAGAAAATGTGTTAAGCCACTTATCAAAATTGTCAAAAGAGATTACTAGATTTTTGAAAAAACTCTGTCCTTTTGATAGCTCTTGGGAAAGAAGAATATGGGGCTTGTGGCTCATTCACAATACTCACTAAATCTTCTTGCTCTGTGTAACGTCTCCTGTTTCCATATATAAATGCTCTAAAAAAGGAATTTAATGATGTGAGTGAGGTTCAATAAAGTATGTTGCTTGCTTTAAATAATACCCCATGTCAATGGAATATTGCTTAAGGAATTGAATATTATTACTATTATTATTAAAAAAACTAAACTCAGTGGCACAAACAGCCCTAATGTGCCAAGGTCTGCAGTGCCCTGAAGTCTTCTTTCTTGACCGTGGGTCCCGGGGTGCATAAGCATATGCCCTGAATAAGTGGTTAGCTTGTCACAGGACCCCCAGTGTTTAGTCCCCAAGCGAACTTGGTACTCATTTTATCGACCCAAGGGATGGAAATCAGGGATGAATGGCTTAGTCGACCTTGCTTAGCCCAGAGTTTGAACCTCGGACCTGTGGAGCTGCTGCGCAATGCGCTAGCCGCTGCACCACTGGGCCTCACTATTATTATTTACTAATTTAAATAATATTCCATAACCAATGCCGGTTATGGGCATTTAGAAAAGGAATAAACAATTTGACTGGAAAGTGTAGTACAATTTCTTTAAAATAATTTTGGATATTTTTATGTACTTTCTCATACAACAGCACATTTAATTAGAATTTTATGTTTATTAATCAGTTAAATTATAATCAGTTTAAATTTTAAGATTTATAAAATTATCTGAATAGTAGACTTGACTGAAATGCTGCAAAGCTATGATTTGTTTTAACATAGTTCTGTTATTATGTTATAGAAATTGGTCGTGAGAAGTTGCTTGCAGCTGGAATGATTCCATCTCTCTTGGTGTGGGGGCGAACATTACTTGAAATTCCCGGTAATCGATATAATTGTTTGATATCTCTGGTGAGCAGTGTGGTACAAAGATGTTTACCTCCTCGCCCTTTGCCTGTTAGGAAGTTAAACAATCCCATTGTTTTCACTTTTACTGAAAGCTTTTGCTTTAATGAATCTGACAGCTCAGGTTAGTATTGTGAGTTCAAATAGATTAATTTCAAAATTATACTGTATGAGAAATGTTATTTTTTTTAAATGCTGAAAATTTTATATGTAGATTAAAAATAAACTGATAGTTGTATCTAATGCAAATATTGTTCTCAGAATTTTAATTAAGGTATGTGGCCTAATTTTTTAAAATATTAAACTGTTACAAGCTTACTTGATGAAGAATAATTATCTGAAATTTACTTAGATAGGATTACTGTTATGATGTTATTTTTCTGGTGAGTCTGTCTACATTGTGAAATTCCAGACACTTATTGCTCTTGAAGAGATTGTATAAATTCTCATATTTAAAATTTTTCATTCAAACATATCAAGATGTGTTTGAATACTGTGAATGAATATTTTTCTCCCATAGTTGGACATGAACGTCCAAGTGATTAAAAATATTTGATTGAGGTGGTCTTGAGTTTGAGCTTGTTTATTGAGAATAAAATAAGTTGGTCTTATTAGGGTTTTTTTTTTTTTTTTTTTTTTTTTTTTTTTTTTTTTTTTTTTTTTTTTTTTTTTTTTTTTTTTTTTTTTTTTTTTTTTTTTTTTTGTTTTTTTTTTTTTTTTTTTTTTGTTTTTTTTTTTTTTTTTTTTTTTTTTTTTTTTTTTTGGTTGGTTGTTTTGGGGGATTTTGTATGATATTTATTGTATAAAATATAAAAGCATTTTCATTGCAACTTTAGATTTGTCTATTAATTCACATTAACTATTTTTTTAGTGTTATGTACTTTGTTTAGAAGTGATGTTTAGTGTCAGTAAAAATGTGCTTACTGAAAGTGTCTTTCAAAAATGGATGTAGCTTCTTTGAATTTGAGAAGTATTTTTGCTATAAAAATATGAAATTTTTAAGTATTACAAAAAAATTTGGTTTAGTATTTTCATGCATTAAATTAAATGAATTATGATCCTGTACAATGGCAATTGTATTGTTGATTTTTTGGATGCCTGTGTAACATCTTGTGAAAAAATAAATGTTTCATTAGTTTTAAATGTTTTTATAGTTGCAAGTAAAATATCTTTTGAATATAGATTATACAGAAAGGACAAACAATATAATTACAAGTCATTCAAAATAAAACTGTGGGAGGAGTAGGCCGTTTGAATAAAATTAGAAGGCAATTTTCAGAATTAGAAATCCCTTATTATTGGTATGCTAATTTGATTATTTGTGATACATTGTAAACTCACATGCTGAAAAGATCTAAGTGTACAATGTTGCTACTTCTTTTCATCAAATAATAATGTTATTTTACATGATAGAACATTGGTATGATATTGGTATATTTATTCAAGCAAATAGAATGGACAATTTGTAATCTTTCATTTTATTTATCGATTATATAGAGTTAGTCTGCATTGTTTCGTATAGAATCCTAAATCCAGAGAAATTAAGGAAAACTTTGACCTTTTACTGAATGTGTATTAACCCCATAAGGCACACATTAATTTCTAATTTTCGGTCAAAAAATCACCTATTTTTTTTCTTGCATAATCATATTCATGCGATCTCATATATATTGCAGAACAGCCAGGTTATCTCAATCAATCTCGGTGTGCAACGTTGTTTATTTATACTAATTTGATACAATCTGCATATCCAAATCTCGTTGTCATTATCTTCCGATCACTCCATCACTCAAAATCATCCTCTCATCGCTGAAACTGTCTGATAATTGGCATATTCAAAAGTGTCATCGTCGAGTCGCTCTTATCAGATACTTTTTTTAAATTACAAAACACGTATATTATTTGCAGTTACTGCTTCTTTTATTGATTTACTAATAAAATGGATATTACCTTTCCCACCAACGCTACTTTATAGCAAAGAATTCCTACAAACTTATAGCAACATCAAACTGCGCCACGTGGTTTACACAAGAAAAATGCTATGTGGTGCACTGTCAATAAGTTAATTTAATCTGCCTATTTATTTTTACTGAACGGTCTCAGACAGCTTAGAAATAAATACGCAGATACAGGGCACCCGTGTGAGACACGGGCAAATGCGTTAAGGGGTTAAATCAGTTTAATGTTAATTACATTTAATATAAATTGGGATTATCTTTCAAAAATAAATCTGTTAATGCATAATTAAAGTATAAAAAATTGCAAATAATCAAAAACATTCCTTGTATGACTGGAATCTATTAAGTAGATTCCAGCTATAATAACATTGTCATGGAACTGAAAAATAATACTCCTAATATCATACAGACCAACCCCTAACTTAAGTGGAAGTTTCTGGTAGGATGATGCTGTTGTTTCATGCTGTTTGGTTTTAGGTGTCAACGATTATTTCTTATAACCATTCATTAATTAATTACCATTGTTGCAACCTATCAATTGCATTTGCATTTTTGAAATGTAACCTCCATTTGTTTATGATTCTAATATTCTGAGTAGACTTTTGTACTCATGCAAAATGATTGTCACCTCAAAAAATGAAATATCCTGCCCTTTCAGTGTCTTTATTCTGCACTTGGTGAATTAGTGAGAAATCTTTCCTTGCAGCTTTACAAAACTGATTGCTGTGTTTGTTATTAATGATTAAAGTAGGGTCTGCATGTATCTGTAGAAACTGGGTTACATTCTGTTTTTTGTCTGGAAGAGGGGAGGAAACATGAAATGAATGTATTGTTGATGAATATGTTAATTTTGTTGATCTTAAAATACGATTGTTTCTTATTTTGTAAGAATGTAACCTAAAATGTTTGAAAATTTTGTAGAAACAATATCAGAATTTCTCAAAATTTAGTAATAAGCAGGATATATTATAATTAAACCACTTAAACTTAGTATGCTTATAATCAAACCTGTTTTTATACCTCTAATATTGATAATACAATAGTGCAAAGTGCAATAGTGCAAAGATCTTTGTAATTTATGCAAGTTTATACAAAAGTCCAAAGATCTTTGTAATTTATGCAAGTTTATACAAAAGTGCAAAGATCTTTGTAATTTATGCAAGTCCTATTTGTTTGTAATTTGGTGTTTGTGTTTTTTCGTTGTTATATATTTGCTTTTGTTTAGTTAGTTTTCGTTGTTATATATGTTATATACGAGGGTTGGAACTTTAATAGTGGCAGCACAGCTGAAAAAACGCTACGCAACAAAACCAAATAATATCGCGTATACCACCGTGACTACCTACCTACCTTACCTCTCAGCAAAAAGACTCGTCCTGCCTACATCACCGCATGCGAGTGACGAGAACGGATCCTTGTAAGCTCGCAGTCTAGTAATGTTGTCCGGATTTTTCAAACAAGACAAACGATGTTGGATAAAATTGAATTGCCAGAGGTCATACACACGACAGTGTCATCAGGGCTTCAAGAGGCTTGCGGGAATCTGCATTGCCTTACAGAACCGGCGAGATGGGTGGAAAGCATTCATGGAAGACGCCAAACGTACAACATGCTTCGGCCAGGTCGTCCGAGTGTCAGTGATGCAGAAGTGCAGCTGTTGCTGCACTAACGGACAGTGATCGCCGCCAAACGATTCGTCAGCTGGTCGGGACAAACAGGATTAGCACATCGACTTGCGCTGCACATTCGAAGGACGCCTGTCCATGAAAAATTGCTTCACGATGGGTTCCACGTCAATTGACGGAATGCAGAACTGGCTACATATGATGCTGCCCAAACCCACATGAGCGGATGAGCGAAGGAGATGCTTTTTTATGCTGTACATTCTGGGGTGACTTGCTCGATCGTACCAGCCAGAACTGAAACCCCAATCAAACGAATGGCGTCATCACTGGTCACCACGACGTTCGAAATTTCAGCAGAACACCGCAATGTGAAGTTATGGTGATTCTCATGTACAACTTGATGGTGTCATCCTAACGCATACCGTTCCCCCACGCAGACCGTCACTGCGCATATTACTGCTCATATTTGAGCACAATCCCGACCAGCTTTGAGAAAAAACGGCGACACTTCTGCAGAACGCTCCTCTTTTGCAGACATGCCGGTTGCATGCACGCAAGCTGTGACCGATTTGTTCAACGATGGGCGGAGGGCTTACCATATACCATACTCCCAGATCTAAGCCCGTTGTACTATGACTTAATTCCTAAGATGAAGGAACCACTTCGTGGCACTCCTCCAACTGTTCCTGAGATTCGTGGGGCAGTAGACCAGTCCATTCAAACTACACAAACAGTGCTGCTACAGGTATCCGCGACTTCCACATCGTTGGAAACGGGTTGTACACAATGCTGGCGACTATATTGAAGGACTGTAAAGCATGGTGACATGAATCACTTTTGTATTCATTGTAAATAAATAGTTGCCACTATTAAAGTTCCAACCCTCGTATTTGCTTTTGTTGTTTATATATTTGCTTTTGTTAATTTTATATTTATTTAATGTGCATTTTATTTAATCTTGAATTTTTGGCTACTTATTTTGTTGGTATGTGTTTAATTCATGTTCTTGTTATGTAAAATTCTTACTTCTAAGTTGATTGATGTTAAGATTATTAGGGTAGAGTAGTAGCTATTCTTTCAAATAGTAGAACTACAGATATTGGCAAGAATCTGCCTTCTGACTTTGGTGGCAATTCCCCCCCCCCCCGCCCAAATGTGAGATATTTGTCAATTTCTTGCCAATGTCATTGGATGAATAAGGTTACTGAGCATACTGTTTGGTGATTTGTTGCTTTAGACTTTGTTAATAATTTTGTTGATCTGTGATATTCCTTGCATGTTGAGAATTTTGGCTCACCTATATGTTCTTCCTGAGCTATTTTTAATTGTTTATATTATCTGGAATAGCTGTTACTTGGAATTTTTATATAAGGTTTCAAGTGTTCCTATGCACTTGATCTAATTTATAAGAACTTGTGGTGCATCAGTTAGAAACTTTTAGTTTTTAAATTTATGAACATAATAAAAGAGGGAAAGGGCAATTTTATGTACTCAAAATCCACTTAAAAAAATATTCATCTGATATTAACAAAATCTAATTATAATAAAATTATATTTATAATATAAATTTTTGAAAATTTTTATTAACTTTCTAAAACATTTGTCATAAACTCCAAGAATTTGGATTTGTCTTATGTTGAGAAAAACAGCATAAGATTTGATGATGTGAATGTATTATTCATATTTGGATTCGTAAGATGAAATTAAATTTTGCATGAAACTTTTTCGCAGAAATGCCACATTTCATAGAATTGTATCCGTTTGTGTAATCTGTAAGTATCAATCTTCTATAAGCAGTTTGAAAGGTAATATTTAAAATTATCACTTTTCAAATAACTGCATATGTATAATATTCATAATATTATGTGACAACTATGAGTGTTTTAGAGAGAGAAAGACTAGTGTGTTGTTTTCACCTCTTCTGTCTTGTCTTTATATGTATACACACATATGCGTGCCTCAGAACTAATGGTTTAAATTGATGTACCCATTGAATTCATTGATATGCATAGCATAAAATTCTGCATGTAAAATGATGGAGCCATCAGAATTATTAAATTAAATTAAAACAAGTATGTTGATTATTTTAAAGTACATGCAAGCAATTTAATTCAGATATTTCATAACTTTCTTATAATCTACAGTTTATATTTCTTCAAGTATTGTGTTTTCTCTGTTAATTATAGATGGCAGAAATGATGACACACTAAGTTTAGCATCATCTACTTTATCTTCAGCTGAAAGTGGAACAGATTCTGAAGATGTATGATGAAATTTTTGTATTTCTGATATTTAAGTGTGTTAGCTTAATGATGGATAGCTTTACGTATTCTCGTGAAGTTATTATTAAAGATATTTTAATTTTTTAGGAAATGCAGCCATTAGCTGGTCATATTGAAACACCTTATAATGAATGCATTGAGCAGTTTGCTGTATTTTTTAACGAACTGAATGAACAGCAGCATGTGAAGGTTGATCTTATTTTATGTTTAAAGTAGTTATCAAATATTAGTGCTTGTAATTATTTAGATTTTTCTGTTTAAATTCGATGTATATAATTTCAACCATAAAATAGAAATTTATTTTTATACTTTAATCTTCTATTTCTTTTACTTAGTTTCAGGTGAGTAACTTTACATGTAAGAGTATTAAACTTTATTATGCTGAATGCACAAATGTATGCCTTCATCTATACTATAAATTTCTTAAATATGTAGTTCTAATATATATGTAATTACAATTTTTTAAAATCACATAATATAATTTAGCTAGCATTTTCGTGCATTAAGCTGCGAAAAAATATCGGTAAATGCATAAAGTAAGAAATTTAGAACCAATTTTGTGCAAAGACCAAAAATTGTTCAAACAAGTAAAACCCTAATTCAAAAAAGATTTTAGAGAAGTTGAGCAGTTTTGCTATTTCTTTGAGTCCAAATTTATGATGGCTAATGAAGTTACCATAATGCTCTTCAAGTTACCAAGTTCTAAAAAAGAAAAAAAAAATTGATTTAGCTTCCAATTTTGTATAATTAGTTTAAAGTCGTATCCAAACAGATTATTGCTTGATAATTAAGTGAAGAATAATTAAAAAAAGTTCTGTAAAAAATAATTTAAAAAAAATTATCTTCATTTCTTACTGCTCTTTTAATTTTTTCTAGCATTTTAATTTTTATTTATTTAAAATTTTTTGCATTACACCTTTTGCTTTTATCATAGTTTAAAGGAAAATTTGTTAAGCATTTTTTGCTAGAAACGAAACATAACCTAATTATAGGTGGTAGATTTTATGTCTGATGAGGAGCTATGTTCTTTTTTGCCCTTTTATTTCTAAAGCTCAAAATTGTCACTGTATATCCTTCATGAATTAATGATTTTTCAGTTATCTTTTAATACATAAGTTATAGCATTTACAGATTCTTACAGAATACTATATTTTAAATTATTTATACATATGTGCATTGTCGCTGCTGTGATTAATAGAAATCTGAAACAACTGGGCCAGATGAACCACAGGACTTGTAACTTTACTGAGTAAAGCAGCAGCTTTTCAACAAGATAAATAGCTGTATATTTTTCATAAAGGAAAAATAGAGATAAGGCAAATTTTCTTTTACACATGATGAATACTGCATATTACCAGAATCATTTACAGAGTGATGTCTAAAGCAGTAAGTACCAAAGAAGAAACTCAAACCTATTGCAGGACTGTGGACTACCTAAGCATCTAATTAACTGTCATCTTTTCATGGCCTCATGTTTATAGGATTACTCAAAAAGGAAGGTAAGCATTTCTCTCAGTTTCGAAAAACGTTGACCCTATAGCTTTATCCAATGTATTTCCAAGGCCTGGTATGAGGGTTTTCATCACCATCTCTGGTTCTATTTGAATTATCCTTGGAATCCAACCATCAGTTGCTTTAGAATTAAAAGATCTGCGACATAATAAATACTTACACAGTAAGTGGCCATAAATTTGAAATTGGATAAAATTCTCAGTTATTATACAAATAAATTAAATAAGTGAATAAAATCAAAACACAACATTACAAAAATACATAAAAACCAAATTACAAATAAATAAAAAGTTAGTTACAAAACTTTACAAAAATGTGTACTTGCTGAAAATATCAAATATTAAATATTTCACAATTATTTATATTTGTTTTTGTAGCAAAGAAAGCTTTATAAAAACAATTATGAATATTGGGTTTAGTCTTTCTTAATTTAACATTATTTAATTGAAATTTTTACATTCTTTTTTATTAGGAATAGTAAATTTTTACTTTTCTCCCAAATAATCTGTTATATTAATAAATAAGTAATTTCAGTGCAATTATAAAGTCTAGATTTTTTTTAACAAACTTCTATAGAATTTTTAATGAAAATGTGTTCTTTGGATAACCATGATTAACTTTTATGCTTTAATTGTTTCTTTTTAATATTTTGCTGAGAATAGAATATACAATTAACCACCTTCAGTTTTTTGTATTTTCTTTCTTTGTGTTTTATCATAATTCTTGCCTTTCATAAATTCTTACAGCCCCACTTTGCATCTGGTGATGAAGCTCAAAGTGGTATGTTCAAGAACAGTTTGCGTGATAAATTGATCTCATCTCCTGTGATAGAACTTAAAGATCTGAAGTTGAATTCTCAAATTCCAAAGATCATTCAGAGGTATCCTCCTGTACAAGCAACACGAAAAGATGCCTCTTGTAAACTACGTAAGCCTACCAGTGATGCACCAATTTACATGCGAGAAAAAGTCACTAAATCAACTTCATTAACATCTGTTACTGCTAGTCAATCTATCAATACTAAGACTTCAAAAAGACCTAATCACACGGATAGCACTTGTGATACTAGTGATATTGCTTCTTCAAAGATAGTTTGTGATAAAAATTTCCATTTAACAGAATCAGAGCGTATGCATCTGTTACAAAGTGCAAGAGAAGAGCGAAAAAATCAGAAGTTTCTTGAAACTGTAAGCTTGTCTGATATCTATGTAAAGCAAGCAGTGAATACAATTTCAATTTCTCCTTTTGTGAAACTGGCATATCCTGATGTTAGAGGTTGTGTATCCATTTCTGAAGCCACCACAAAATTGTTAAAGCCTGATCCTTTGCTGATACGGTAAGAACATAAATTATAAATATTAATTAATACATTATAAGCTTTAGGTATTTGTGTTTTACTGTTTGCAGAGTATATTTTTGTGACTGTGATTTATTTCTTCTAATTTCTGCATTCAAAGGTATTTTATGATGGACTTTTAAGAGACTTTTAAACTTTTAATATCTGACTTAATACTTGAAACAACTATATGAGTTGCAGACCACTTTTAAAATGCATTTAGTCAAGATATATGCAGATAAATAAAAAGGAAGGCTACATATTACTATTGAAATTTTCCACTTCAAATTGGAATTATCTGATATTATATTATTAAAAGTGTATAAGTCTATGAAAAAAATCATTGAATAGGTATTGTTGCTATATATACATATTATGTTAAAGTAAGATGCTAAATGTACAGGCGTTGGAGTGGTTTCAGTAAGAGCAGTAATTACAATAATCTCAGTCTCTGCAGATATGTGTTTTTTTTTTTTTTGTAATGTTTTATCCATTTAAGAATTGATAGAATACTGTTATTCACTTTGGTGTAATATAAGATATAAAATTAAAAATTAATTTTGTCTAAAAAAAGTTTTATTTAGACAATTTAGTTTAGTGGTTTATATATATATAGCATCTAAATTAGTCTGTTTAATTTAGATCCAAACGTATTTTTATGTAAAAATTCTAACATAAAAGGCACTGTGTTGGTGTTTTTCAAAATGTTGAAATTCTGGTTTAAGGACATCCACTTAGATTGGAATAAAATTATTAGATAAAGAAAAATTCTGATAATGTGACCCTTTTTTCAGTTTCACTGATCCTAAATGATTAAATAAATGGTCTGGAATATATTTTTATTTTGTACCTAATGTATAACAGCTAATGGTTTGTAGCTAATGTGATCCAAAGTGGTTATGCAAATTACTTTGTAAAACATTGTACCAAAACTGCCTTGATATTTATGAATGTATTTTTAAATTTAAATTTTTGCTATTGTGAAGTTGATGAATTCAGTTTCTCTTGTTAGTTTTTCCTTGACAGCTTCAGATTTGTATATTTATAAGAAAGAAGTAGATATATTAAAAAAAAACTTTAAGTTCATTTGATGCAATGTTATTTTAATTTTGAATTATGTAAAAATTTTATATGAGTAAAAACATTTTTTTTTCCTTTTACCTTTTACTGTACCAATATTTCTAACATTTTAAATTAACAAAAAAAAAAATGTTTTCCATTTGTAGCCAAGAAGTACATAAACATACTGAACAAATGTCAGAGAGTGACTACGTATTTGATGAAGTGTATAGTCTAGATAATATATTAAATGACAATGCATCTACTTCTGCACCTTTGAATAATAAAGATGAGCAAAGGTAAATTTTTCCCCATTATGTATGTAATTAACTGTGCTGAAAATTTAATGTTAAAAACTTTGTAAAGAAAGGAAAATGTTGCTGTTTATTAATTACTAAAGAAAATATTTAATTTTAGTAACTTATATTTTCACATAAAAGTAAAAATTCCACACCCTTTAAAACAAAGCTTCATTAAATATGTTTTGATTAATTGCTATCAAACTAAACTGTAACTCTGCAGAGCTCTCTTTGAAAGATTAAAAATATTCTAATAACATTTTTTAAAAATTTATATATTTTGCATAATTATATTATATTATGCCAAAATATATAATTAAGTATATAGTCTAAATTTAGTATATAGACTTAAATTTAAAAATATAAGTATATAGTCTTAAATTTAGTTATTAAAAATAATTTTAATGAAAGGATAACTAATCTCTGTCTGTTACGTTTCTGTAAATCTGTTTATGTATGTATGTATATATTTATTTATAAGGGAGAGGTATGTACATGAAGGTATTAGTCTAAAAGGTAAATTGGTTAGATCATCATACATAATATTAATATCTTACATGTTACATCAAGTTCTTATATTTTCCATACTGTATCAGATAGACTTATGAATAGATGTGGCAAAAAAAAATTAAAAAGTAGCACTCATTTCTTCGGTAACATATATTGTTCACCTTTCAATAGTAAGAGTAAAAAAGCATAGCTAGGTCCTTTATAAACATACTATATATTAATAGTTAGGTGTTATTGTTAGGTCCATGCTGCAAATATCCTATCCACAAAATATCTACTACAGTTTTTTACCTAAATTCTTGTAATGTGGCCAGTAAGGACAACATTTATAATGATGTCTTAACACACAAATGAAAAGAGTAAATCAATTCTGAAATATTAAAAAGCATGATTTTTCAGGTATAATTGTCTTGCTGCTTTTTAATTGATTAAGAGCTATGAAAGGATTCCTGTGTTCACAGTCATATTAAAATAAATACATAGAATGTAACTTAAACCCAAAATATAAAATTTTCATCTTGCTCTTATCATCTATTCTTCCTTTTAAAACACTTTTTGTCATGGTTAATTTAAAAAATATTGCTTATTGTTGTAATCATAGCTTATAATTTTTCACTATGAAAGCGAAACTACGAAATAATTTTTCACTACGAAAGTTTTAGAGCGAAAACTTCACTTTCATAATATAAATTTGATAATACCAATCATTCGATAATACCAACTCAATAACGCCAATTCGATAATACCCAATCAAAAATCACTTTTATGTCTCTCTTTTGTTATTTTTGAATTGTAGCATAGCAAGTAGTAGTTCTTTAAATAGATCCTCCTTGTCTCTCTTGCTATAAATCCTAGTTATTCCACCAATTGATAGACACAAGCGTTATTGAACTTTCTTCCTCCTCATTAAATTGATGCTTGCAAAAGTTGATTCTTTGTTGTATATATCTCGTTAGTTCCTCCCAACTTTAAAAAAAATAAAAATAAATAAATAAATAATAATAAAATAATAATAAACTATTCTGGTCTTACTGCTGTTCATTGGGCATTTTGGGATCATTTTAAAGAACCACTTATTAAATGTTTAAAAAAGGTGAAGGGAAGTAATTATTTGTTGTATGTTTAAAATAAAATTTAGTCAGCTTTTCATATGTTATCACTCTAGTAGGTTGATTTATTAAAATAAGATGGGAATGATATTCTACTCAGGTTACCAAAATAATGGTTGCTAAAAGTTCCATGAGAACCACAGATGTAGTCTGTTCAGATAGGTGATTAGAATCGTAAAATTGTTGTGGTGGGTGACAACAAGTGTATGACCAGAGTTGTTAACAAAGGGTAATCATTGATTTGTAAATTATTTGCTCTTTCAAAATGAAGTATTTCTTAAAATACATGGCAAAGGCTTTAAAATTTTTCATTTACGCTCGTTAAAAAATTTCATTCATTTTTTGAAATTCTCCTTTGTTATCGTAAAATACATTCTGTAATTAGATATAACAAAATCAACCTTATTGTCATCCCTTCATCCTCCTGTCAGCTACACAGTTGCTTGGATTATCTATAAGTTTGAGCTCCTTTTCTCACCTATTTGTAAGATTTATTTTTAATTCTTAGCCATATCTCTAATTTTAAGTCATGTAGAATTTTAGTATATCTTTCCAATGTGTTTGGATATATATTGGCCAAAACTAAAAGAGTGTTAAGATCTTGCATTAAGGAATATTAATACTGTGTTGAAAAGGAGAAGTGAGAAAAGCTTTGATAACTAATCGTAATTGGGCATTTAAGTACAATTTTGATTTTAGTTCTGTGAAAATTATAATAATATTAACATTTCTTCTTAATTCTTTCAAAATTTGGAGCTTTTTTACCTCTTATTACTATTTTCCTTAATCAATGGCTCTGTGTTCATTTTCACTGTGCTGTATCCATTAATTTCCTTATACAATGATTGTGTTTTATACCATATATGGAAAAACGTTTTGCTGTTAAAGAAAATGGGCCTATGTTTGATCACCTTTGAAACAGATTTTTATTCAAAACCTACGCCAATTTATAGTTGCATTTTTTGTCTAATTTTGAAGCCAAATTAATGAGTCAATAATATATTTTAAGTATGCTTAATATATACTTATCAGTTATCAATTAATTAATTATTAATAAGAAGTTTATTAAATATATGCATATGCTGTAACACTCTCAGCAAATACTTTTGTTTCTTTTGTTATTTTTTGTCGTGTTCTTAAATGTATAAGTTTTGAAAAATAGATTATATGAATTCATATGTTTTTAAAGGAATATTTTATTAAATCACTAAATAATACTTACTTTATTTGAATCATGCAAAAATCCAGAAATTGTAATATGCTCATTATCCATATTAATAGCAGCTTAGTAATTGAAACAATTAGCAGATTATGTTGGTGTGCATCAAACATTTTAGTAAAACGTGCATCAAACAAAAGTTTAATTATGCATAATTTGAAATATTACACTTCTTGTGTACAGTACATACACTGTAGGATTCAAAAGTTCCTAGACTGAGTCTATGATGTAAAATTTTTTTTTGCAATAGTGCGATTACGAGTACGTTTTTGTGTTACTACGTTCTCTGCCTTTTCTAAAAGTGGTTTGTCCCAAATGATGTGGTCGAAAGCTCACGGTGACAGAGTTTTTTGTAGATAAGTGCATTTAGTAACCGGCAATAAAAAGAAATGTCTTCAATTGAGAAGAGAATCAATATCAAATTTTGTGTTCGCTTGGGAAAGAATGCTACGGAGACTTTCGAAATGTGAAGCATGTGTACAGAAGGGAAACATTATCGAGAATGCAGGCTTTTGAGTGGCATTGTCATTTCAGAGAAAGCAAGGAAAACGCCGAAGACTATGAACGCTGTGGCTGTCCCATGACTTCACGCACCGAAAAGGTGTCTGCGGCAGTACGTGCAAACAAGCAACAACACTCAAACAATTTACCAAATAGCAGAATTAGTTGGTATATTAGAGGCCACATGTCAGCGGATACTGACTAAGGATCTTAACATGCATAGGGTGATTATGTCTTAACATGCATAGGGTATGATGTTAACACATCATTCCCTGCATGTTAAACACAGACCAAAAGGGAATTCGTATGGAAATACTGGGAGTCTTAATCTTGGTTGTTAACAAAGATCCTTCCCTACTTGGCAGAATTGTCACTGGAGAGGAGAAATTGTGTTTTTTGTACGATCCGCAAACCAAGAGAGCATCAGCAACGTGGAAATCACCACAATCTCCACGGAAGCGTAAATTCTGCCAAGGTCGCTCTAAAGGAAAGATTGTGCTAGAGGTCTTCTTCAATATCTAGGGCACTACACATCTGGAATTTATCCCTTAAGGGTGCACTGTGAACAAAGAAATCTACATCGAAATCCTGCATCGTTTGTGTGAGTCGATCTGGAAGAAGAGACCAAAAATGAGGGCTGAGCAGTCACGGGTGCTGTTGAATGACAACGCTCCTGCTTACCGATCTCTACTCATCAATGACTTTCTTGTGAAACTGAAAACAACTGTTTTGCCTCATCCTCCTTATTCACCTGATCTCGCACCCTACAATTTCTTCTTATTTCCTGCACTGGCAATATGCTTGCAGTGTCGGTGATTTCAATCTTCAGATGAAGTTAAATGTGTATCACAGGCTGAATTAAAGGATATGGCCAAAAATGGATTCCAGACATGCTTCGATGAACTTTACTGGCGCTGGCAAATGTATGTTGTTGCACAAGGTCTTATTTCAGAGGAGGATGTGTTTCTGCAATTTAATTCATAATATTTTTTACATTATAGACTCAATCCGGCAACTTTTGAATCCCACCTCGTATTGAAATATAATAGCTTCCTGTATCACAGCAAAAATTACTAAAAAAAGTTTAAAGGTACTTACTTCTACATGAGATAATTTTTGTTTTCATGATCTTTTTCAATGGCTTTTGCTACAAAAATTAATGTTTTGTGTAACAGAATAAGCATTATTCCAGGTATTTTTTGCTTAATTTTAGATATTTTACTTGATTTTATGCCTGATTATGTTTTCAAATACCAACTAATTAAAATTTTTTTTTTTTTTTTTTTTTTTCCTAGGATTTATTCTGAACAGCAAAGTGACCGTTTACAGTTTGAAGCCAGATTTGAAAGTGGAAATTTAAGGAAGGCTTTTTGGGTTAGTCATATCATCATAGATAACATTTAATTAATTTTCTCTTCTATGAAATAAAGAGCATGCTGATTTTAAATTTGTGCTAAGGAATATTTTTTCACTTGTAGAGGGGTGGTGGAGAGTATGACTTAATATTGAATCCTGACATCAATTCTAAATGCCATCTGCAATGGTTTTATTTTGAAGTTTCAGGAATGAAGTCCGATATACCCTATATATTCAATATTGTCAACATGGAAAAATCCACAAGCCAATTTAACGAGGGTATTTTTTTACAATTTTCCTTTTATGTATTTCTTACTTGTAATTTGTTGTTTCTCAATAGTATGATGTTTTTGTTATTTTGTTTGATGATAGCACATATCAGTAAAGGGGGGGGAAACTAGATATTATGGTTTTATTGTTGAATTGTTACCTTCTTGTATTATTAGTTATTTACTTACCTCTGTAAGCCTCGTGGAACACGAGGAGTTTTGTATATGTTTTTTTAATTAAAAGAATAGTTTAAAAGAATACAAAAGGTATTTCAGATTTTACATTATGCCCAAAATGGCGTTTTTTAGCATTTTGTGTGCTACCTTTATTTGTTCTTCGCCCTTAAACCATAAAATTCAGTTCAACAGCAATATCATGTGAGCATATCTTTAGAATTTCCTGTATACAGTCTTGTGTGCTGGATATAACCTCCCCTTCCCTTTTTTTCCGTACAGTATTACCATTGGTCACTTTGAAATTGTTGAGTTTGTTTATCAAAAATTTGTTTAAAGTGATACAAATTATGAAATCGATAATAAAATAAATTTCAAATTCGGGCTTCCAGATGCCCATATTCAGTGGGAGATTACATTATTCAAAATTTGATGTCTCTAAGTACCGTTGTTTTATCACAGTGCAAGAAACATACATAATTTATGCAGATTCTTCATTATTTAATTTCTTTAAATATTACACAGAGCAATAATGTTTGATGGCAACAATTTGAAAAGTGAACCAACGTTTATAGGGATGCAAAATGGCAAAACAAAATTAATAGCCCTTCTGAGCTAACGCCCTTTGGGCTTTAAAAAAAAAAGGGGGGGGCAATAGAGTGAAACTTTAGTTCATTATTTAATGCATTCCTGAAGCCATTCATTAACCAAACTATTCGTAAACTGAAACAATTTTGCCATAGGAGTTAATGCAAAAGAACTAATTCATTTCTGGACCACAGATAATTTCTTATTTAAACTTTACAACAATACTTTATGCACAAGTCCTTGGCCCAGAATCAATGGAAATCATTAAATATGTATTAAAAAAGGTGAACACAATATTAAACAGCTAAAATAAATTAAAACTTAATTTTACTATATCTGTATGAAAGAAATTAGATCACATAAGTAGAATCATGAAATAATTTAGCTTCCCTTCCATAAAAATATAAATAAGTGTCTTTAGGAGGCCTTCTTCTTTTGCCTTTGTCTTTAAGCATTGCTCATGTCTGCTTGAGACTCATTGGGGCTCTATTTTGATCAAAGTTTTACAGTGGGATTCTAGTTCATTGTTACCAACAGTTTAAAATGTTTTCATAGTGAGATGTGGCATTATCTTTGAAAGTGCTAGTGCTAGAAATTAACAATAAAAATATGGAGGAGCAATAGAGCTTGCTATTGCTTTATCAGGGTGACACATTGCTTTAAAACTTTACACAAATTACTTTAAAATTATTTTACACAATTTTTTCTTATCAGAGAACTAGAATCTGTTTTATTCCTTCTTCTTCTTTTGAAGATATTTCTTTAACAAACACCTTTTGTTGCTGCTTCTGAAGTTATTGTAGTTCTTCCTTGAGTTTATTTAAGTTCTTCTTTAATATCTTCTCCATATTTTTATTGTTAATTTCCTAGCTCGTAGCAGATAGCCCTGGACGCTTTGCACATAAACCAAACCAAACCTAACCCATACTTTTTTTAGAGATACAATCTCATAAGTAACAAATATGTCCTAAAGTATCTAAGTTCTCAGAGTCTCTGCCTGCAGCCCAATCTATCCATAATTTCCTGCTGGCCAAATTCAAGGTCCTTTACATCACTTGCTGGCAGGCTTTGTTAATCAGAATTAAGTAGTGGGAAATGTATTAAAATAATGTTTTCAGAAGTCTCTGAGTATTATTTATGAGGCATAAATTACCTCAAAACACCTTTTATACATATGATGTAACCCTCTTGAATATTTGTAGAGACACTTTTGTCATATGAAGCATTTTTTGTACGTATAATGTTTTTGTGAACCAAATTATTTATGAACTGAGAATTAGATTGGGGGTTTAACTGTATTTTCTCTTTCCCACTGGTTTTGTCTTTGTTGCAAACACTGTAGTTTACCTCTATGTATCTGAATTTGAACACCTGTAAAATGAAATGTGGAAAAGAAATGCTTTACTTTAAAAAGTTCAAATAATTTTTAGTCTAAAGAGGCAATTTGCCCAGAAGGACTATTAATTTCGTTTTTGCATTTTGTGTTGATTCACTACAAGCATTGTTTCACTTTTCAAATTGTTGCCACCAAATATTATCGCCCTGTATTATATTTAAAGAAATTAAATAATCAAGAATCTGCATAAATGTATGAATGTTTCTCGCATTGTGATAAAACAATGGTACCTAGAGCCATTAAATTTTTGAATAACGTAATCCTTCTGCGAATATGGGCATCTGGAAGCCCAAATTTGAAATTTGGAATTTGTTTTATTATCGATTTCATATTTTGTAGAACTTTAACGAATTTTTGATTATCAAACTCAAGGATTTTAAAGCAAGCAATGGCAACATTGTACAGAAAAAAAAAACCTTTTTATCTCCAGCGCTCGAGAGTGTGTATCGGAAATTCTCAAGATATCCTCATTTTAAAATTATTTTGCGATATTGCTATTGAACTGAATTTTATGGTTTAAGTGCAAAGAACATGATATTTAATAAATCAAGGTAACACACAAAATGTTGAAAAATGCTCCTTTGGAACATAATTTAAAATCTGAATTCTTTCAGATTTTTTATTCGGTCTGTGTTTAAAATGTTGTCTGAAATTGGTCATTTTGGGTAAGTATCAATGCATATGATCATTATTGTAAATCCTACAGGGATCTTTTCAAATTAAAAACTGGGTAAAAACATTATTATGAAGACAAGAAACCTGTACGATTCTTCAGAATGAAAAATGTCCTCCCTTTTTTTTTTGTATATTTTTATGATTAGTATATTTATTTTTCAGTATCATTAATGACATCTTAACATTGACTTTCACAATTATCATGAAATCTTGAAATAGAATTGAAAATGCGATTATTGATGGAAGTAATATTTAAATCCTTGAAAACTGCAGAGCTCCTGATATACCATAGAACATCAGTGAACATTTTTAGAGCCTTGGAAAATTCTAGAGAATTTGCAGATCTGACTTTGGCAGCAACTGCCTACATGGGTGCAGCCATAGAGCTGTAATGTACTAGAGAGAGAAACGGCAACCCTGAAGGGGAACAGGAATGGGAACCACGTGACATTTGGAACATTTCCCAGATCGTATTTCCCGCGAATCTTCCTTACCATTACAGTTCTATGGAGAATTTGTGAGAAGCAAGTGCTTTTGCTTGTACGCACATTGTTTCGGACTTCAAAAATGGTACTTTCCGTGCTCCGCATATGGATGTAATTCCAGATACGTGAAAGGTGGAGAAGTAACATTTCACAGGATGAGCTTTTTCTAATGTTTTAAAACCTAATTTTTTATAAAATGTATAGGTTTTTTTATCCACTCTACTTGCCACTTTTCTAATAAAAAATAGGATTTTCTAAATTTTATATAATATATGCATACTTGAAATAACATTTAAATAAAAGTATATAAATATATACGTATGTTCTCTAATAACTGTGTTCTAGAAAAAAATGTTTTAAAATTTTAGTAATATAATATAATTTTAATTAGTCTAGTATTCTGCTTTGGCGACAATTTTTTATATGCGCCAACGGACTTTGCTTTGAATGCGTTTGTTTAAATATTCTTTGTATGCGTTTGCTTATGCGGACATGTGCGAAGTAGTAATGTATGTATTTAATACTTGGTAATGCTCATGTAACATTGTGTAAGAACTGCATAAAATTATTTTTTTTGGGGGGGGGACATGAATGGCTTTATTTTATCCCCTTTTCTTGCATCCAAATATAACAAATATGTTTACTTTCAATCACTTATTTTCTTTCTTATATCATGTTTCTGGCATTTATTCCAATATTAAGAATTTGTTAAGTATTAAGAAAATAGTAATTATATAGCAGTTAAATTTCAAAACTTTAATAGTTTTAAGTTTCTTTTTTAAAATAATAAACATTATTTAAATTTTACCTTCTAAAATTATTTAAAATAAGTGCAATTACATTGTGCAACGTGCATAATATATATATATATTTTTTGCTAGTAAAAGGAAGTCTTAATTTAGCACTTTTTTGTTTCATAATTTAATTATTTACCTCTCTCTCAATTCCTTTTAACTTATATCTGCTATATTGACATTCATTTTTAATTCATTTAATTTAATATCTCACTTTGATTGGCCTACTCTGTAGTTCTCTGTAATACACCTTATTAACATTAAATTTCCTTTTCGTATAAATATAAAATTTCCTTTTTGTACAATTTTCTGTTTTCACTCATTTTTCTTATGTTATCTATTTTTTTTTTTTTTTTTTTTTTATTCTGTCCTAAGTACTCAAAAAAAAAAACCTTCTTTTTTATTTATTTATTTTTTTCCTGGCCCTTTTTTTTTTCCTTTTAGGTTTATAATTTTCCTGTTTTATTTTAATCTCATTTTCATTCAAAATCATTTCTTAAATATCTTTGGCTCCTGTTTATGCATTACAATAAGTATATATATATATGAATTTTATTTATTTTTAATTTTTTAATTATTTTATTTTCATCCACTATCTTTAGTATGTATAATACTTTGTCTAAATCACTTTTTATTTATTTATTTATTTTTAAATGAAAAAAAATCTTTTTTATATTTATTTTATTTGTACTTTATTATTCCTATTACCATTTTTCCGATATATTTTATTTATTGCACACTGCTTCATCTCATTCTGTTTTTGTCTTTTTTCTCTTTGTCTACCTTTGTGCTGCTAAGCTAGTATGGCTATTTGTCTGGCTTAAATTTTAAAATAAAGTGTCCAATTTTAGGGAAATTATTAATTTTGGCTGGTGTTTATCGATCTAACCTCTTCTGCAAATTCAGCGGCAATGACAATGCGAAATGACATCTTTCCAAGTTTGCATTTCGAACTGAAAGAAAAGAGGGGGGAAAAATCACCAGCCATGGCGATAGTACGCCAAGTCTGGGTTCAGCTCCATTTCATGCCCAAACTCCTGCAGCTCATTCCTGTGCCGCTTTTTCACCCGGTTTTGAATGGCGATGCTCCGTCTAGTATATAACAGGTCTATGGGTGCAGCATAGAGCAGAATTAAAACTTCATCTACCCCTTTTAATAAATAAATACATTAGACACCACGTAATGTGATCATGGTTAATATTATCATTTGGATATTGTTATTGAATTGCAAAATGCTGTCCACTTTTTATATGAAAACATGAAAAGTACATTGCTTATTGCTATCAACAGTTTAGTTAATGCTATCAGAATATTATTAAATAAATTTCTTAAATTAAATTAAGTTCTGCAAATAAGTTCAAAATAAATTTTAAAAAGGGCCTAATGACTGAAAAATGTCGTTAAGGCAACAAACTGCTTGGTTTTTATTTTAATCAACCATTTAAAGTTAGGCGAAAAAACAGCCTTTTGCTTAGTTTAGCACAGATTTTTAATAATTGTTGATTTTGAGAATAATCAGATGAAAGTCTGTCTTCTTCAGACCGTAGAAGATATCTTCCAGGGGCATTCTGAACAAATCCAAGCTTATCATATAATAAACTTTTTGAAGAACATAAAGATGAAATCAGTGAATTCCCTATAAATGCCGATACAAGGAAATGCCCTTCAAAGATTAAAAATAAAGATACAACATGAGTCAAATAATTTCCAAAAACATTAGATGACTTTAAAAAAGAACATTTGCATAAAGCTTGAGGACAATACACTAGTAACGAGTTTTTTTTTTTGTAGTTTAAGTGCTGTGAAAATAAGTATTTATATATTTCTACTTATGAGATTTTTTTTCATCATTTAATGTTATTAAAATAGACATGGACAAACATGATCACATTAAATTACACCTACTCTACAGATAGTATTCAGAAGTATTGTAACTGCTTAGCTGGGTTTTAACGGTTTGACTAAAAATAAATTTTATGCACTAATGCCTTTGAGTAGAAGTGTATTTCAGTAAGTAGGAAAAGTTTTGAAAATTTCTTTAAATTATTTTATAAAATCATTTAAAAAGATTTTAAATAGAACTAATTTAATTATAATATTATAGAACTATTTTAAAAGCTGCTGAATTCACGAACTATAGCTATAAAGGTGTTGTAATACTGTAAAAAATAAAATATTAGCAGTTTGTTAATGGGTAGTAGGAGAATTTTTTATTACTTCTAGAATATTTTATTTTTTCCTGTTTTTATACGTTCCATATTAAATTAAGAAATAAGAGGCTGATTTTACTGTTATCAATAAAATCAAGTTTATCTCATTGCAATGAAACATAATAATCAAAGCAAATATGTGCAAATTATTATTTTTATTATAATTGTGTAAAAAAATGTTGTACTTCATTTACTCTTATTTTGTAGTTAATAAGTCTTCCTTTCTAAAGTAGCCCATTCTGTTTTTAAAAAAAAGTATTCTTATATGAAGGTGAATGTAAATAATTTTATTTTTCATATTTCATCTGTAACCGTAATGTCTTAAGTTACACATTGTTGCTATTTCAGGCATGTGTCCTGTCATGTTTTCTGTCAGGAATCATGTGGAGAAAAAACAAGGTTGGATGAGAGTAGGCTCAAACATATGTTATTTTCGAAACCATTTCACGCAGGGACCTTCAATCAATTCAATTTTTAGAAATAAACCATATTATACGTTAACATTCACAGTTACTTTCCAACATTCCAATGATGTCTGCTATTTTGCCTATCATTATCCTTATACCTTTTCAACTCTTCAGGTTGGTAATTCTTTTTCTTTTTAGATATTTTTCTGTACTTTTAAACATGCTGAAGAATTTTTTTAATTTAAGCTACATTTAAAAACTTTAAATCCTAAAATTTAATTTTTTCTAAATTTTGAATGCTTTTTTTTAATTTGAATTTGAGATTTTAAAAAGTATCTTCAGTACAAGGTCCAATATCTAGAATGATCTAACAACTAGAACTCTGGACTACTGGCAAAAAAAAAAGGAAAAAAAACTGTTCAGAAAGTCTAGAAAAAGAGAATTTAATATTCAAGAAAAAGGCTGGTATGCTGTAAAAGCTATTTTTCTCCCGGCTGCCTGAAATTCCGGCATATCACTTTCAAACACCTGTTGGCAAGGGAATGACACTGATGTCAATGACATTAAATACTGATTGAAGTTGTATTGACGCTAACTACAACCACTCTTTCAGCCCTCGAGTAGTTGTGTGGGGTAGCATATTCCTGTGTGACCTAAATAATATCTAAACTCCTAAGACACATTTTGGAATGAGATGTTGCTCATACTAGTTATTTTTTGCAGTGGGGAAAGGTGAAAGAGTTAGATTTGTAGGAATTAAATTAATGTAACAAATTGTGCTCATCCCTCAGCCCCCTTCATGACAGCATGTTGTTGAATTAAAAACCCTATGTAGATGGGTGTGTTATATATGTATCAGTCCCAAATGTTGCTACCAGCCAGGTGATACCACTGGTGCAACACTACCACTGGTGCAACACACCACCTCCAAGGTTAGCTTCATGCTAAGCGACATGCCGTTTCGTAAGAGGATTAACTGCTGATGCATATATGATACACCTGTCCTGAAGGGGTAAACTTTCTGATTTAAAGCAGCTTATTATTTTGTTCCATCTATCATTTTTAATTTCATTGAAATTACAGTTTTATTAAATGAATGTCTCCATTTTACTTTTTTCTGGTGCAGTCTCTGCAAATCCTAAATTCTGCTTCAAAAGCCTCCCTAAATTCTAAATATTTTCCTGCTCCTAAATTTTCAATCTCGGTACCTTCCCTAAATTCTAAAAATTTTGCCATCCCATAATTTCATTGCTCGATGTTTCTCTAAATTCTAAAAAATTTGCTTGACTAAAATTCTGATAGCTGATATGGTAACACTAGCTTTGGCATTAGTCCTGGGTTCATATGAACAACAAATCAGTTATTCTCAATTCAAACTGTACTAAATGTAATCTTTGCATGTAGTTAAAGTCTGTAATCATGACCAAGCAATAATGTCAACATAAAAGGCTACCTTGCTCTTTGGTAATCAGTTACTATTATTTAAAAAAAACATTTAAACATTGTTGCATGTGTCATTTTTCAAGCTGCTGCTCGCTAATAAATATGTGGTGATAGAAGCAATAAATAATAATCTGCCAGGTTGGGGTCAGGGATATAAATTATTTACTAAGTTTAAAATCAATAACATTTTGATGTAGAATGTTTTGGTTTGAGATGCTTGCTAAGCAAAAAGTGCCTACAGAGCCGAATTATTGACAACACATATTTGTCGCAATATGTGTTTGTTTCTTTAATATTGAGGTATTTTATTTAGTGCCAAAGTGAAATAAAGAATCGGGATTCTTCACATGTTTTATTATCAAGAAATATCAGATGTGCATGCATAAAGCATACCCCCCCCCAAAAAAAGAAATCTAAAGAAAAAAAATTTACTGGTAATTTGGGGGTCTCGATTTTAAATCATTTTGGATATTGGTCATCCAGAGTCTGGACATTATATTGTAACAAGACATAGATAGCAGTTATTATTTATACTTACAATTTGATCCTTTTGCTCTAAATGAGTGAGAGTCACTGAATCAAATACTCTAGATGGTTATACTTAGCACATTTGCTTTCATTTAGTTCTAACCTTTATATATATATCTATATTATTTTTACTTTATTTCTTATATTTGTGTATATATATATAAAAATTAGAATTAAAAAATGTTTTAAAAAACCCGTCATTCACTATACCTGCAGGATTGAAATAGAATAAACTTAAAAGTATCTAAACTAATTAGTAAATTGGAATAAAAGGAAGGCAATTCCTCTATAATACAATAATTTCAACTGTAAATAAGAGGTTTTTAACGAATATCAAAAACGCCAATAAATAAAAAATCCATTTTAAAATCTTGAAAAAAAATCAATCAAAAAATTAAAAAAAAAAATTCTAAGAAAATAAATCCAACAATGAAAACATAAAAATGTGAAAGGAAAAATATACAAAATTATGTAAATAAAAATTAATCTCTTTTTACTGAAACTCCAATTCAGAACTCATTAGGGGAAAATGAATTAAAGCTTCATAAAAGTCGATTAATATGTTTTGAAATGTACAATAGGTAGGAGAATGAAACATATTTTCAAAATTAAATTATTAAAGCTTCATAAAAGTTGATTCATATGTTTTGAAAATATGTTTCATTCTCCTACATATTGTACATTTTGAAACATATTAATCGACTTTTATGAAGCTTTAATTCATTTTCGCCTGATGAGTTCTAAATTGGAGTTTCAATAAAAGGAGATTCATTTTTATCAGTATAATTTTGTATATTTTCACTTTCGCATTTTTATTTTTCGAGATTGTTCTACTATGAATTTTCAAGTCCACAGTTTTGACAACATAGAGATTAGTATTCTTGATATTGTACCTGACACAAAATTGAAGTTGGAATCAATTTACTTCTTGCAAAAAAGAACACTTTATCCTTATGGGCTCAACATGCATCTCAACAACACTACTAACAGACAAGCAATATGGACAGTTTAAATTTTTTAGTACAAAAACTTCCAGAGGAAAAAGAGGTGGAAATTCTAGTAATATTTTTTTTCCCACTCAGGATTTGGATATAGTAATTAAAAAATTTTGTTCCTTCTTTCAAAAGCATGCCTTCACTAAAAATTCTATTAACTTACTACATGCTTTTAAAGATGTCACATTATGGAATCTTCTTTATAAAGTTAAAAAACAATCTCTAGTTTACCAAATTGTCAAAGACTTAATTATCGACTTTTGCAATTATAAATTGAAAAAAAGTAATTTTTTCCATAAAAAATTTTTTTTGTACGGTTCAATTCAAGCACCTTTTGTATGATCAGCTCCAAATTCCTCAAATTTTTAAAAAACATCACAATCTGCTCCCGAACCAACAGCTCCTAGTGACACTTTGTTTTAAGTTTGAAAAAACTTTAAGAAGTATGATTGTTAATCACCACGATGTTGTAGATAATAGCAATTGTGATTGCCAGCTTCTTGAATACAATAAATATATGGATATGGATCCTTATTAAAAACACATAGTCACAGGTGATCTTAGCATCATTCAAGATTGTAACCTGCGACAACTTATGCAACTTGGTACCAAATTTCATCCTACTTTCTATCTTAATAAGAACTTTTGCTTGAAGCAGTTCAGCAGTGATTTAAATAAATTTATTATTTTAGCTAGCAATCAAACTAACTTACCGACTACTACCTTTCTAGAATGGAAAGCTGCTGTTTTTAAAGATTTTGAACAAATACTCTTTAGTCTACCCAGTTTTAATCAAAAGCACGCTAAGAAACATCTAGAATATCAAATCAAGCTTCTATAGGAATGTTTCATCATCACCAAAATAGACAAGGCGAGTAATAATTTCAGTGTCATTTGAAAAAAAATTCTATTTTGAACTTATTCAAAAAGAGTTGCTTAGCACCAGCACTTATCAACAAGTTCTACCAACAGTAAAATTCTTCTAAAAAAATTTACCACCTTACTTAAAAGACTCCAAATTCGTCCCAACAAATTGAATAATAAGTTTGCTAATCTCTGTGCACTTCCTAAATTTCATAAAACTCCTGTCAAATTCAGATACATTGCTAATAGTGCTAAAAGTTTTTAAAAGAAATTGATTATCTCTTTGCCCAGATACTTAAAAAAAAAAAATCTGGATATTGTTAATAATTTCAATTTTCTGGATGATTAATAACAACGAAAAAGTTCTCGAGATGTTAAATATGCTTAAAATAGAACACATTCAATGTTACAAGTTCATAAACCTGTATACAGTTTATTTAATGCTTGTGAGCATGGAATTAGGACCTGTAGTCATTGACATGTATTTCCATTTCATCTAGATTCAGTACATAAGGGATCAGTTTTTTTCCCCTTTTTTTGACAGTACTGTGATGTGTGGACTATATGATTCCTATATGAATATCATGCAGCAAAATCTCAGTTTGTTAAAAGCTTCTTTTATTGCTTGAATCCTGTTTTCACTTTGAGATCTATATTGTGATCTCTTTAGTAGCTCAAATATGTACTTCCTCTTTTAAATGATGAAATTGGTAGATGGTGGTGGTAGATTTACTAAAAACATTCAAGCCTACTTTTCTCTTCCCAGTGGGCTTTTTAAGAACCATACATAAACTCGATTATTTGAAGCTGGTAGCAAAAATCAGCTAAATTATTTTCTTATAAATTTACCTAAGTAAAGGAATTGCAGGAAAATGAATTGGTATACTGTATCTAACAATGTTGAACAGCTAACTGTTCAAGAAATATCTTTATGGCTTGCATAGCCACTATTATTTACATTTCTAAATGTAAACATGTTTGGTCTAGATGATGTAATACTTCATAAAATATTAATTAATTTTTTATTTTAAAAACTGTGTCATTTTTTTACTCATTTCATTTAGACACATATTTATTACTGGATGAATAGTCATGATACTACTTCAATTTATTTCAAAAAGGATGAGTTGTGTAAAACATTATCAGGCAATAGTGTTCCCTTATTGACAATAACAGCTAAGCCATTGGATCGTAAGTTGTATTCCTTTTAGCTTAATATTATGTAAGATAATCCTTGAGCACTTTGCTATAATTTATTACTACAGTAATTAATGTTAACTAAGTTTGCTGTAATCAGATTGAACAGATATCTCTCTATATTATATGTGTGCATGTGGAAGTAGAAATTTACAATTTTATTACCATTTAATTAGTTATGTGCGTTTTTGAATGAGGAAAATGAGTATTCAAGATTTGGTCAGTTTGTAGTGTAGTTAAAAGTTCTAAAAAATTATATTTAAAAATTTTACATATATATATATAGATAGATAGATAGATAGATATAGATATATAGATAGATAGATAGATATTTGGAGACAAATTTCAAAATCATAAACTCAGTTTTGATAATAAAAACTATAACTATAAAATCATCAAGAGTTGCATTTTGTTTAATGACAGTTACTATAAATTTAAATATTTTTGTAAATTTTAGAAATTAAAATTTTTTTAATATATTGTTGGAGTAGATGAAGTTTCATTGATGGGGTTATCAAAATAATTAGATTTATAATATTTCTTATAATTATATATACATTCGGAAAACGGCCTTTTGTAGCTGCAATTTTTAGAAAGAACAGGTTTATTGTGCCATATTTAGCTGAAGGAGAAACAACTGCTTGTTAGTTGGCACCTTTAATGTAATCAAAAATAAAGACATTCTTTGTCTAACAACCTTTTACTAAAATTCTTAGAAGAAAGGAAGTATGTGTAGTACTATGTTGTCAGATTTTTAAATATTCAGTTTTAATTTTTAAATATTTTCCCACTGTGATTTGTGTTTGTGGCATGCTTGCATATGTATATAATTCTCTAGTCCGATCTTAATTCTGGTGTTGTATGAGGGCATGAGTTTTCTTTTGATGCATAAATATTTTTCTTTAATGTGTTATTATTCTTTCATTATAATAAACCCTTGTTGAGCACAGATCTGCAGAACACAATTTCACATATCCACATTATCTTAATTATTTCCTTTTTTTTTTTTTTTTTTTTTTTTTTTTTTTTTTTTGTTCAACACTGAATTTCATTCATACTCTCTTCAACATTCATTCTAAAACATCGGTTGCTCGCTAGCATCAGCTTTAACCAAATGTTATTGATAATTTTTTAAGAACTAAAAATGAAACTAAAGAAATTGCAAAAGCAGTTAGCTGTGAAAAATTATCAAGGGGAGTCTAAAGATGGAAGAAGAAGTTAAAGAATTAATCGAGAAATGATGAGTGAAGAACTGAATTATATAATAACACCAGCCAGCATGAAAGCAGCAATAATGAAGAAGGTAAAGCATTTTTAACTTGAAAGAATTTAAACGAACTGTTAAAAAATCCTCTGGAACTGTCTGATTTTGCAATGGAGATTGACCCAAATGAAAAAAGAAGGGGTCAGTTTATGAGAAGCATTGAAAAACTTTCTGCTGCCTACCGTAAAACTTGTAAAGAGTTGTGTCATTGATTGTCCCAAGAAAAATCATTATTCTTTTAAGAAAATAAGTGTGTCACATACTTATCAAGCTATAATAGAAATCCTTCCAATTAACATTTATTTCTTTTTTCCTTTTAATTACAACAATATATTGTTGTTTTTTTTTTAATTTATGCATACTTTCTTAATTATACTTAACATATTTTTTCCGAATAAAGTAAACTTTGTAGAATGCAATTTTGCCACATAAAATGCAATGTGTTAATGACATAAATCTCGTGTTTGGCAAGGGTTTACTGTATTAACCAAAAATTTGCATCTTTTAAAATAAAATAATATTTGTTAATTTAGTATATATTATCAAGAATTTGCTTCTAAAAAAAGGTGGTAGAGACCCTTTATTGGAGTGTGTTAGAAGTGACAGCTAAAGGTGTCATAGGATATGTGAATACGTGTTTTCAGGTTTTATTTTCTAAATTGTTTACCCTAAATGTATGCAATCTCTATTTACAAAATGTTTTCAAAATAAGGAAAGAACTGTTTTAAATCAATTTTAGCTTTGGATAAGGAGATATTCTATTATATAACATATATATTTTTCTGGCATATAATCTTAACACCTTTTGCGACACTTGCTGGTCAAAAAACCAGTAAGTAAAGATGTTCCATATGCCTTAATGAAGTAAATGGGCAAGATGCTATACTTTTATTTTCAAAATTATGGAGATACTTTACAGAGCTGTGGAGTCGGGCAGATTTGGGGGTAAAAAGAGTCAGAGCTGGAGTCACTAAAAACAGGTCGACTGCGACTCCAGTTTTCGTTGGACAGTTTGAATTTGAAAGGAAATTAAAAGGAATTGAAAACAATTAATGACAAGTTGAGTTATTACTTTTGTTTATGAACTGTATACATTAATAAATAGTTATTTTCTATTTTATTGACCTATTAATAAATAAATATAAGGGAGTAGGATGGATGTGATATTTCCCATTAGTGATTAAACTGATTCATTTAGTTACTTCATTTAGTTACAAATCTCACTGATAAATTTAGGTAAGCAGCAATAGCAGCAAGAACACCTAAAATTGATGCCATTCCTAAGAAGCGAGCAGGAAAAAAAGCAATTATTGATCAAGCAATGCGATAAGGAAGTACATATTTGATGATAAAGTGGTTATTAGAATTAAGAACTTTTTTAGGAAATGTAGATAACCCTTATGTTTCACTAACAGAAAGACTGGGGATGATCTTGCAGAATTGAAAACTCTTCTTTCTATACCTTATATAGCCACAAAAAGGCTGCAATCTGAAGAATTGACAGGAGGCGAGATTGGGATGTTTGTTCTTTCTGAAATGGAGGTTTTACTGCAGCAGGAATCATTTCTTCAATGAAGAAAAGAGAAACTAGTTTGCTAGACAATGAGATCTTGCTGGGTTCAATGTATGGAGATCTGAAACACTCAATTTTCTTGGATGACAAACAAATTAAAAAGGCAAAGAAAGTCATCTGTGAACTTTCATTAAGAATGAAATCATTCTCAGAACAGTTGGAGAATTCGAATTAAGACAGTCAAACTGCAGACATTGCAATTCTCTATCATCCTTTTCCATTGATGAATTAGATTTTGAGAAATATTTTTGTATAATATTGAAAAGGCTAAGGCAAAGCAAATGAAAATAAAAAACAAGAGCCTTTAGATATAAAAAGGAAAAAATACAAACAAGATTTCTACATGGTCTTTGAAGAAATAGAGAAATATGATTGCGCTTGCTAGACACCTCTTTTAAAACTAACAAAAATCTATCTTGAAAAGTTAAAAGAAGTAGCCCTAACAATAACAGCTCTCCCTCCTACTCAGGTTAATGTAGAAAGTTCTCAGCTCTGAAGTTTATCAAATTGGATCTATGGCCCTCCAACAAAGAAAATATTGCCGAAGCTATACTGTTTGTTAGAAATACCTAATGTCAGTTTTTCCATTTCATAATAAATGCTAATTAATATAAATAATTTGCTATGCCATCAGTGTTTTCTCTGTAGCATCTATTACTTCTTTTATATTAAAAAAAATAAGCTGTAACCCATGTGTATATGTTTGCATGTATATGAGGGAGTCAGAGTCGGAGTCATTAAAATTCCAGGAGTCGGAGTCGGTCATTTTCCCTACCGACTCCATAGGCCTGATATTTTAGAATTAATTTACTGACTTAGATCACTTATCATTCATCTAAGACAGAGGTTCTCAGCCGTGGGAAGGGGGAATTCTCTCTGCCAGGAAGGGATTTTGTAGTTTCAGGGGGAGGGAAATGTGGTCAGCCTTTTATTTGTCTATTAAGTATTCAATTTTAGTGTATGAATAAAAGAAACTGCTTTAGTTTGGTCATGTGTGGTTCTAACAATTAAAGCAATATTTGCTATTAACTTTATGGCTGTATCCATAAAACTGTTAAGTACTAATATGCCTAAAAATATGACATATAGATGTAATTTTTTTGTATTTAATATATTAAAGCATTATAAATATTTTACAAGGAGAACTTTTTGCTCTGAGAGGATCATATATAAAATTAAATATTCTTTTTTTAGAACCTTCACACTCACAGTATTGACATCCCTTTCATAAAATTCATTAATATATTTTGAGAAACTTTATAATTGAACATACATATTTAGAATCGGTATTTAAGAAAATGAAGTCTATGACTGCCTCTTTCAAAACCTTTATATACTTATTTTAAAGCATTGTCAAAGTAAATTATAATTCTGTTCTATTAAACCTTTATTTTATCTTCAATTTCTCCCTTTTAGATATTAATATGTACATAGAGTTTTCTTGTATAGAATCAAATTGTCCTAGCATTTGAAAAAAGTTTGTATTGCATTAAGTTAGATTGTAAAACTAAAATCTAAGAAAACTTTGATTATTTGAATGCAAATTGCTCTGCAAAAACTTTTGATTCATTAACTTCATATTCACTCTGTTGTTTTTATCTGCTAAGAGTTGTGTTACTCATTATACATAATATTAAATTCTTTTTAAAATGTTTCTTTCTTTTTTTAAAAAAAAAAAAAAAGAAAAGCGACCATATATTTTTCTGACTGCTCGAGTTCATCCTGGAGAAAGTAATTCTTCTTGGGTTATGAAAGGTAATTTTATCATTATATTTTTTATTAAAGACTCAATTATGCCATTCTATTTCTTATACAAAGTGTTTTTAATTTCATGGGACAAATTTTAAAAGGTGGTAGAGGGCATCAAAATTTTTCTTTTTTCTTGTATTGTAAAACAATGATATGAACTGAAAGTGGAAGATGCCAACACTGGAAATAGTCAGAAATTTAAAAACGCTTTTACTGCACAAGCTTGAAAGAGCTTTTTATAACAGCCAAAAATTTTTACAAATTTCAGATACCATTTATTTATTCACATTAATCATCATCAGTGTTGTCGTCATTTATAAAAATATGTGTAGTATTTTTCCATTCCTGTAACCACATTAAGTTACCTGATTTGTAATTACTGAATTTGACGTTATTGAAACTATACTTCACGACAAGCTAACCTGAGAATACATGCATTGCTAGAACGACCTTTTCACAACTTTTCACTCTGTTCTTCAAGTTACACATCAAACCACCTGCCGAAATTCAATTCCTCCAATTCGCTGCACATTTTGTGACTTCTTGCCAAATCCAGCATATTTTTAAATAACAATCTTTTTATGAGATAAAGCTGAAGTTAAAATTGTTAATTCATTGTAGCATAAAATGTAGGGCATGTTATTCATTGTCTTAATTTATATGAAATTTTTCACTGTTATCTAAATGTGACACATGCGAATTAGATGGCTTTTAAAACCTGATTTGTTACTTAAAACTTGAAACAGAAGAACTAATACTGTATTTATTCCTTGTAGTCTAGGTTAAACTTTTTTCCCAATGTTCGCGTAGTTAGAAGTAAAATATATAAATTTTGAAAATCTGGTAGTAAGTTATTTTCTCTTAATTTTTAAGAATTTATGAAGTTTGTTGCTTCCAAAACAATGAACCAGGGGAAAATTTCGATATTTATTTTCTAAAGATGTTAATTCGATTTTAATTTGTGATTATTTAAAAACTCTTGACTGTATTTTATAGCAGACATTATAAAAATTATATCCTGCATTAATTGTCTCCTGAGACATACTCTTCCAATCATGGCCAGACATTTGCCTTCCTACAGTATGTCTTAGCTATCTGTTTTATTACTGTTTAAAATCAAAAATAAAATAAATAAAAGTACTGGAAACTGAGATCTTCAGATTACAGTCTAATGACTAAAGAGTTTACCATTCAAAATTTCAGTGTATTAGAAAATATTTAAAATTTTTAAACTGTAAAACAAACATAAAAATTAAGAAGCAAATGATCTTATGCCAATTAATTAAGCCTATACTAATCCCTCAGTTTGCTTGCAGTCCCTCAGTTTCCATGGCTAGCTCCCTCAGTCCCATCCTGGCTGATATATACATGCATTATTATGAATCAAAATTGTTTGAAACTGTAAACTTCCCGGTATGGTTCCGCTACGTAGACAATACTTTTACCCTGAAGGTAAAAAAGATGATTTAAATAAAGTTCTTTCAACAATGAATTTCATTGATCCTGCTATTCAGTTCACTTTTGAACTTGAGACTTGCAATTCTCTTCCGTTTCTCGACATTCTGGTCACACGTAACACATCCAACTTCAATACTCCGGTTTACCGTAAACCGTCATTGGTTTGCCTTCCACCACACTTTAAATCGTGTCATCCGACTAAACAAAAGTTAGCTTCACTTTATTCCTATGTTTTCCATGCTCTTCAAATTTACTCCTCCAAACTATCCCTTGATGAAGAACTAAATTAGTTAAAAGCGATAGCTATTGACAGGGGCTTTTCACCCAACATTATTAATCAAGCAGTTAAAAAATTCTCATCTCAAAACACTAAAAGGCACACTCTTGTTTTAGGAGATTATAAAAATTCTGTTGTCATTCCCTTCTTTCCCTCAATTAGCTTTAAAGTTGCACATATTTTGCAGAAATTTAATTTTCAGGTCGTTTATTCTCCCATCAATAAAATTCCGAGTTTCATACTCAAGGACCCCATTCCGGATATGAATTCCTGGGGTATTTATAGGATTCCTTGCCAGTGTGGTTTAATTTACATTGGCCAAACTAAGAGAGCCTTAGAATTTCACATCAAGGAATGCGAGCTATATGTTAGAAAAAAGGAAACACAGAAGTCTTCTGTTGCCCAACATTGTTGATCCGAAAATCATACTTTCAATTTTCCTGCTACCAAAATTATTCAAAAAACATCTTCCATTGGAGAACTGAATTTTCTAGAAGCATTTCACATTCAAAAAATCTTTCTGTTCTAGTTAACGATCCTAATTCCAATCCATCTTTGCCTTCAGCCTTTAAGGAAATTATGTTTTAGTTCTGGTTTCATCAACAGATGGCGCCAGTAGCTTATCTCCAGTCCAGGCTTTCTTATCTTATCTTATCTCGTTCATTTGCGCTTTTGCAGTTGAGGATAATGTTTCGGTAAAACCATCGAATCTAGTCATGTGAAAATTTGAAAACACAGTCAAAAGTCGTTAATCCGGACTCATCGGGATTTCGCCGATTCCGGATTATAGATCATCAGTTTAGATCTGGTAAGATGGCATGCAGAAATTATAAAATTAAAAATATGAAACCTGAATTTATGAAATAAAGAACAATTATGATCTAAAGGGTATCAAAATTTACAAAAAAAAAAAAAAAAAAAAAAAAAAAAAAAGCTTAATATTTATTTACTTTATTAAACATTTCTGTCTGTGTAAGTTGTTTAAGTTGCTTCGTTTTTTATGTGATAATACTTTCTCTTTAATTCTATAAACAGACATAATTTCTTGTTCAGTTACAAAGTTCTGCTGTTCAAGTCCTATAATTGCCGTGTCGAGAATACCAACTAATTTGTCATTCAAAATTTTTTTGTTTTCAATAACCTCTGTGTTACTTTCTTCACTATCGGAAGCAAATTATAATGATGAGGAATTTGATTTAAATCATATCAAAGATGGAGTACATCGAGATGAAATACTACATTTAGTAAGGAATTATAAGCCAAATAAAATAAAAACATCTGCCCTGAAGATAAGGATAGTGCTGACAGATCAACTTCCAATTCATTGCGCATCGCAGCATCCCCCACCCCCCGCCACAGAGCAGTGTGAAATTGATAAACAGATTTCGGAATGGTTAGATAAACAAAGGTTATGCCTTTATCTATTTTTTGCAGCAATTCCACTTTTTGTTTAATGGACTTCGAAACATACTTACGCTTTGTAGATCCTTTACATATTAGTAAATATATATCGGAAATTCTATTTGACATAATCGAAAGTTCAAGCTTACTTTTATAAAATTACTCTAACAGTCTGTAAAATATAATAAGCCGGATCCAATTCGAAGATTAAGGAACTACGCAATCTGCAACATTAACTGAATTAGATAATTTTAGCTTAGCTTATACAGTCCGTTATACATTAAACGTGCATGCATAAATGTATTTTGCGCATGCGCACACGCATATTCGCAGCCGTAAAGGTCTTACGTGCAGTTGACGCATGCGCAGAAAGTTTGTAGCTTTGAGGTCCGAATTAACGACTTTTGACTGTATAACACTGACTTTTGTTGTTTGACTTCTAAATTAATATTTGTTCAGCATGTTATTGTATCTTAATTACTCCATATGAGTTCAGTTGGATTCAGTTCGCAATGATATGGTGGCGAATCGAGCACAGTATGCCCGGCTTCAGCAGCTACAGCATCAATACGATGCAATTGAATTTTTTTTTTAAACCTTAGAAATGAAAACTAAAAGTTACGCTTTCAACATATCAGCTTCTCAAGAAATATTTTTTTCTTTTAACTAGAGCTGAATGTGCTTTCCTTATACTTAAATAAGGAATGTTTTCAGACAAAATACTGTGACAAGATGCATTATCCAATGCAGTTACACCATTCAGTTGCAGGTTAGTAAGTTTTTTTTTTTTTTTTTTTTTTTTTTCAAACCAGTTCTCATAATATTCTGCATTCATTTCCCCATGATAATCTATTTTTTCTTACCTTTGACCATATCACATGCTTCAGGAATAAATTTGTTTTCATTACCAATATGAACAACTATACATCCTGAACATTTTCCTGAGGGAGCAATTAAACCTGTTAAAAGACCGTCAAAAGGCTCTCTTAGCACTTTTTCTAGTTGTAGCTCCCAAATTTTGGTTTTAGAATGCCAAAATTTACGCAAGTTTCATTGGTGTAATAAATTGTCCAACCCTGTAAGTGATATTTTGTTGTATCTCTTATATATCTATGCCTCCAGCATTGAATATCGTCACATTCAATCAAAATTGACAGTCTTTTCATTTTCTGTATGCAAATCCTAAATCATTCATCACTTGTCCTACTGTGCAAAAGGACATATTTGGCAAATCAGTTTCATCATTTATCACTTTAGTCACTTTTTGCACAGTTGGAATTTCATTCTGTAAAAAGATACCATGAACTTTCCTTTGTATTGTTCCTAAAGTTAACTCATCATATCGTTTGATTTGGGTTTGCTTTCAGAGGTAGTTTCTTACCTGGAGTCGAAAATCCGCCATTAAAAATGTAGCAATGTTGATGGCATAGCACAAAGATAGCTTAAAATGTAAAGGAAGAATTTTGATTGTGTAGAATGCTAAAATGTTGAATCCATAATGACTAGAAAACTTGGCAGCCAAGTTAAGTTTAAATATTCATTTTTATTTCAACTGACATTTGTAGCCACAATTTACTTGGCACTCTAATGGTGCTTATTCAAGAATATTTACATTTTTGGTACTGTTGTGATAGGAAGAGAGCAAAATAGCATCATAACAGGAAGAGAAACAAAAACGAAAATGCGCAATTATTTCCAATATGGAAGCTCACCAAGAGAAGATTTTGGATTAGATTAGAAAGGCGTCAGTTCTCAAACTTTTGAATTCAAGCTCTGACCTAGCTATGTCATCAGCATTATGCAAGCCATGGGACATAGATTAATTTAGAAATGGAGCAGTCCAGAAATGTTATTACAGTACAAAGTCTTTAATCCGGACTCATCGTGACTTCAGTGATTCCGGATTAGGGGTTTTTCCGGATTATAGATCATCAATTTAAATCTGATAAGATGGCATGCAGAAATTATAAAATTAAAAATATGAAACCGTAATTTATGAAATAAAGAGCAGTTATGATCTAAAGGGTATCAAAATTTACAAAAAAAAAAAAAAAAAAAGCTTAATATTTATTTGTTTACTTTATTAAACATTTCTTTCAATGTAAGTTGTTTAAGTTGCTTCGTTTTTTGTGCTAGTACTTTCTCTTTAATTCTGTAAACAGACATAATTTCTTGTTCAGTTCCACTGTTCAAGTAGTGTAATTGCTGTGTCGAGAATACCGACTAACTTGTCAATTGAAATTTTTTCGTTTTCAATTACCTCTCTATTTGTTTTCTTCACTATCAGAAGTGGTACACCGAAACATGCTTTTGCTTTGTAGATCCTTTTGCGGCTCCAGAGTCGGAAACTCTTTTTTTGACATAATCGAAAGTTCAAGCTTACTTTTTATAAAATTGCTCTAACAGTCTGAAAAAAGTAATAAGCCGGATCCAATTAGAAGATTAAGGAATAATGCAATCTGCAACATTAACTGAAATAGGTAATTAGATAATTTTAGCCTAGCTTATACCATCCGTTATACATTAAACGCGCATGTGTAAACGTATTATGCGCATGCGTAAACGCATGATGCGTTTACGCATGCGCAGAACGTTTGTAGCTTTGAGGTCCGGGTTATAGATTTATTCCGGATTATGACTTTGTACTGTACTACTTTTAGAATGTGGAGAGGAATTACCCAAATAAAAATAAGGAATTGAGAGACTGTTGCTAATTTAGATTATAAAGCCCGATGTACATAATTTTTTATCTTACATATATATATACACCATATTTGACAGCATATAAGATGCACCCTTATTTAGAAGGCCACACACAAGGGGAAAAAATACTTAATAGTCCGCGCGAAAGCACGGTACCGCAATAATTTAAAATATGGTTTCTTTTAGTTCTCACGTTTCGTAAAAGCCAAATAATCAATCATTGAATGCATTTACCTAACATATTTTTATTAAGGAAAATTAACAAATGGCAAGCTATTTTGAACATGATATGTAAATTTCAATAATGAATAAATGAATGAATGGCAAGCAATCAAGCATAATACAAAATAAAGCAGAAAGAACAAAAAAAAAAAAAAAAAAAAAGATTCAAGGAAAACGCTGCTTATCATGAAATTAGACTGTAATCACTTTCAAAACTGATGCAAAAGCAAAGTTTAAAGTTATAAAAACTTTTAGCAGAAATAGCAATAGAAGCTCCCTAAGGTTATATACTGTGCAGACATTGAAGACAAAAAATTTTTAACTTAACCGATTTATTAACAATATATATAAAAATAAAAATGCCAAAAATAAATTTAATCAACACCAGAAACTTAAAGAGTGTAACATTATCAAAAATTACATTTAGTTGACTATTCATTAACCCCAAGGGTTTTTTTCCTTTAAAGAATATCACACTATTAATGATACAGCAAATATATTACCTGATCTTTGAATACTGGCATTCAATATGCGAAAAACATATCACAGAACAAAAATTGTGCGGTTAATATGAATTTCACTTCACTATAAATAGATCCATGCTTTTGGTCAAGAAGGCACCAGAAAAATTAAACTAAACCTTGAGTGCACTTGGACTGGCAAAAGCCGCTCACCGTAGTTGCTCACGAGAGATCACAGCTTTTAATTTAACACCGCCGAACCACAGAACAGATTGCCACCCACGGCTGTTGCTCACCGGGAATCATAGTCTGGAATTTGACGTCGCTTAACCTTGGAAACAGGATGGTGTCCACGGCAGTTAACCACCGGAAATCGTCGCTTTGCAGAATCCAGGAAAAATCATCATGGACTGGAACCATAGTACTTACCGCTGGATGGCACGCATCCACTGCGTCTTCCAATGAGCACTGGAACGGCACACCAAGGAGCAATGAAACAGGAACCAGAAGGAATAAGCCAGAGTGATGCGAGATGCTTGTACCTGAAGTAGGCATGACGTCATCTCACGACAACCAATAATCAGCTATCGGCCCAACTCGGCTTTCCAGATGACGTAACATCAAATTTCGTTTTTGCATCTTAATTAGGCTGGAACAGTCCGTTCTTAATACAAACAGTGGCAGTGAAAAACAAAGTAGAAATAATTGCTATATCCCTCTAAAATAAGAACTAAACCTTATGTAAAAGATAGAATTATTTCAAGGAGGAGAGATGATGCAGAAAAAGGGTTACAATAGGTCATATTTTCCAAAAAAAAACCCATAAAAATCCTTTTCACTATCATCATCATCGAAAACGAGAATATCATCATCACCTTCTTCGAATAATACGTCGTCTTCTGTTCCATCTAGAGGATTACTGATTCCACACTTCTTAAAAGACTTAACAATTACTTCAGCCTTTATGTCCTCCCAAGATTTTTTTACTCACTAGCACACTTGTGAAATAGGTGAAATAGAGGGCCGCTTCATTCTACCTGAGGGTGTGAGGGCGTGATGTGGCTCTCCTGTCCACTTTTTCCTTAAATGGCTTATTCACTGATACATCTAAAGGCTGCAATTGGCTAGTCAGTCCACCAGGAATGACAGCTATCTGGGTTTTTAATTCTCTCACTTTATTCTTTATGGTTTCAGTTCTATGGGCGCTAAACTGATCCAAATCCAAAAGAGAGGGTTTTCTTAAGAGTCTACCAGGTCGCCTCGCCCTTACGTTCTGTAACCATAGTTTCATTTCAACTTCGTCCATCCAGCCTTTTGGATGAAAAATTACACCTGTTGGAAGTTTTTCTTTTGGATGAGTTTTTCTTTTGAATATGAAAAAGGGTGGTAGTTTTGTGCCATCAGCACAACATGTTAGAACTACCGTATATCGAGTTTTTTCATGACCTGTGGTTTTTATGGTTATTGATTTAGACCCTTTAATACTCACAGTCTTGTTGGATGGTACATCAAATGTAAGTGGAATTTCATCCGTATTTTCTATTTGACCGAGCTCAAAAGAAGTTTTCTTGCGTGCATTTATAACAAACCTATGAAATGCTAGTATTTTTTCTTCATAATCTGCTGGCATTTTCTGTGCAATAGTTGTTTTTGTGCGCATTGATAAGCCTTGCCTTTTCATGAACCTGTAGCACCAGCCCTCAGACTCTGAAAAGTTTTGATTCCCATGTTTTTCCTCAAATCCTTTGGCCTCATTGATTATCATTTTGGTTGAAACACTTATCCCAGATTTCCTCTTATGTAGCACCCTTATTTTTACAGCATTTTCATGTTCAGGCCAAGATGGAGCTGGGCGTCAAAAGTTATGTTTTTGTTTTTTAGCAGTCTTCAGTTGATCTTCCTGCAGTCGCCAAGTACGTGTCATTTTTTTGGTAGGTGGTGAACTGAAATGCCTTGCTGCTGCTCTGTTTCCATGCACTTTGGCATAGTTTAACACTCCTAGTTTATACTGAATTATATAGCTTAATTTCTTGTTTCCTGTAGTCATATTTTCCTGGGTATTTTTTTAAAACAAATAGTTTTAAGCACCAATACTGACATATTTATACAGAGTAGCACCGATACCGACACGTGTGTCGGCTGAGTCAAAGAAAGTCTATGTAAAGAAGGAAAGGCTCCATAGACGTAATGTGACCGTCGAACCTGTTCGAACTTCGACATCAGCTTCGAGCTTCGGCGCTTTTTGGCGACAGATATTTCACGCATGCGCAAAATAATTATGGCAGATGTAGAAAAAGTTATGTGTGTCTAGACCTTTATCCGGGCTAAAACTAGCATTCAGTATTTCAAATTAACTTGTGTCCTTCATGTATAAGACGCAGGTAACTTTTTTGAGACCAAATTTAGGGAAAAAAGTGCATCTTATATACCGTCAAATACGGTAATTCATAATAATGTATAATAAGAAAACTTTCCATGTACCATCTCCTAGAAAGACAAATTCAATTTAAAACCATGAATGAAAAAAAATAGTCAGAATTTTAATTAGTATTTTAAATTAGTACTTTTGATACCTCCTTGCTTAAAAATATAAAAATTTGCTAAGAAAATCTTTAATTGCAGAAATACCAAAACCAAAAGTAAAATTTTAAGTATTGAAAAAGTAGCTATTGTCATTGATGGCAGATTAATTAACTCATCCAGGGGATAAAACAATCTACCATCAATTAACAAGAACTAAATTAAAAGAGAGTGTTTCGTCTTACTTCTAAGTAAGCATCAAATTATTTGCTAGATCCAAATCATAAGTCACATGGTACATGGAAAGTTTTCTTATTATAAATTATTATGAATTATTGGTTTATTACTTTGCAGCTTTAGTGCAAGTCATAGACTTTTTAATTTACTTTTAATTACTTTTATTTTGAAAAAATATATATCACTATAACATGGTATCCCTTTACCACCTAAATTTTGAATAATATTCTTCTTAACCAATGAACTGTAAATATGTTTTAAGCTGTAAATAAGATATGTTTAATCAGTTATCTTTTTGCATGTGCTTTTGTGTAATGTATATTGGGTGTTTAAAACACATATATTATTATTTTATATTAATATTAAATGCAGAAGAGTTGTTATTCAGTACTAAAATTTAATTTTTTACAGGATCTTTGGACTTTTTATTGTGCAATAAGGCTCAGAGACTGAGGGAAATGTACATTTTTAAGATTGTGCCAATGCTTAATCCTGATGGAGTTATCAATGGATGGTAATATTGTATAGTTATTCTTTAAAATTCTCTTACTTTCTCTTCAGGTATCTACCTTATTCTATAAGCAATAATGAAACTAAAACTGATAACATTATTTCAAAATTCAAACTTAATATTTATTTTTTGTAAAAATAATAATATAATAATTACAATTTTCTTATTTAGTATGTATGATTGCCACTTACAGTGGAACACAACAACAGTGACATGAACCTAAGCTGGATGTCTTGGTGCAACATTCTGATATAAATACCCTGAGCTTAGATCTTGTGGGGAATTTTCCAAAATCTTACAGGCAGTGATCTTCCTCTTGTTTTGAAAGTCAAGTATGCAAAATTTCATAAAGACTGAAATAAAACTAGATTTGCATGAATTACACACACACAAAGAAACAATTGTGTTTTCTTCTCTGCATATATAGACTATTTTAGTTTATTCAACCAGTGTAATTTCAGGGGTCCAGCTAGTAATTTATAATAATTGAAATGAATCTACATTTGTTGCTTTTAAATAACGTATGTTGTTAATAACAGAGTAAATATGAAAGGAAAATTAAATACTATCCACTTTGCTGAATGACAGTACACTGCTGCATGGAAGATAAAAATATTTTCATCTCTGAGAAATAGCCACACATTTCTCATAAGTAGCTGAGTTTGTTTAATAAATTCGAATGACAAATAAATATATTGCACTTTTCCAAATGGCAACACACTTCTTTTATATTGCTGAATTCTCCAAAATTCGAATGACAAATAAATATATTGCACTTTTCCAAATGGCAACACACTTCTCTTATATTGCTGAATTTCCCAATTAAGTTTGAAACATAAATACTTCATGCTTTCCACAGTGGCAGTACAAAGCCTCTCAATTACTGAGTTTTTAATCAAAATTTCATTAAATTAACATAAAGTATGTGTATGTAAAGAGTGTAGACCCGTGGATTTCGAGAAATATTATGTTGACAGTGATCATCTTTTTTATAGGTCAAGTGTGCCGAAATTCATCAAGATCATAATAAGCTACAAATTTGTATGAAAAACAACTGTTCTTTATATAGATGTATCTCTATAAGAAATTTTTTATGTTTCCTCTATATCAGACACATTAATGTTATAAAACCATAATGAGAAAGCAAAGTGTTACCAGTTTCTTTTCTTCTCTGCCTAGTGCAAACTGTTTAGCAAAGGGTTATCTCAAATTTTAAATAAAATTAGTGAAGTAATAAAATTGTATAAATGTTTTTAGATATTTAACCCTTTGATGCTCGGTGGTCGCGCCTTGAAACCACCAATTTTCGAAATTTTTCTCCTCTTCCTTCTGAAATTTTTGAGTGAAAACTAATTGATTACTCATCTTTTACCTCTAAATAACACAAAATGACTACAGAATCATACATGTTTTAGGTCTTAGTACTTCAAATTGGATGCCTTTTAAAATTCGTTTTCAATGAGACAAAATAACTTCCTTTTATTAATATAAACAAACTCTAATTTCAAAAGTTATTCATAGCGCATCATGATCTCTATCATAAACAGTAAAAAATAGCAATAATTAAACTGCATATAAAAAAAAATCTTCTATATGTACGGCATTTGCTTTGTGGTTTCAGGGCGCGACCACTGCCCCACTAGAGCATTGTGTCACAATGCTCTAGAGGCTTGGTGGTCGCGCCTTGAAACCACTGCTCTTCACAATGGCGTTTTTCTTGCTTCTCAAATAGAAATGTTTATTTTTACCCGGATATAGATAAGGGGTTTTGAAATCACAGAGTTATCACAGAGTTATTTAATTACCTGCCCAGTAAAAAGGTCTTTCTTTTCCAGAGACTTTTCTCTGACCTCAACACACTTGCACCCCAAGCTAGTATTGTGATTTTATAAATTATTTCCTGTGGTTTAAATTTAATGTAAATATACTTTGCTGTAATTAAAAAGAGAAATCATGTAAAGTTTTATTTAAATTAAAAATATTTTCTGAGTATTTTGAGACAAAATACGAATAAAATAAGTATGAATGGGAAACGAATGATCCGTACCAAAGCCAAAAACACCAAGCTTCCCCCCAATTAATATAAAAAAACTACAAATTTCATATGCCAGATGAAAAGAAACTAAATAACGCTGGATATAAAAAAAAACACTGAGTCTTTTTTTTTTTTTTTTATCCTTATTTTACTGAGTTTTTTAATCCATGTAGCCGAACGTCCTTATTATGTAGGTACTTATACTTTCACTGCTATAGAAAAGTTACATAAATGTTTATTTTTGAATTTTTTCTGACGATTTCATTTGTAAAATAATGTAAAAGATATATATATTATGCAATTCTCACATGCATTTTTTTTTTTTTTTAAATTCCTAAATTTCGTCATTTATTGGAAACGCGCATGGAAAAAGGTAAGTTTTTTTCCCCTACTACCTAGGTAAGTTTCAAAGCCCAAGATGTGCGGTGGTTTCACAGTGCAACCACCACCCAAAAAACAATGGGCAAGAGTATATTTTTTTTTAATTCATATATTATTTGTCTCTAAGATCATAATATTCAATTTCTAGAGATTTTAGTTTAAAAAAATGTAAAAATAATATCGTGTGCATCAAAGGGTTAAAAGATAAACTCTAATCTGAATTCAATATAAAGATATTGAAACAATTTTTGCAATACTGCTTAAAATTTAAAAACATGTATTAAATTTTTATACTATTGCATATAGCTCATTAAGTTGTAATGAAAGACGCATTTTATGTTGAGAGCAGTGGTCTTGAGAAAAAAATAAGCGTTTCTGCATACTCTATATTCACAAAAGCATTCAACATAAACTTCGAGTCTACATCGACTAGCAACCAAAATTTGATACTGAATTTGTCATGTTTATTCAGCATGTACTGTATAAACTTACACCTGGCTTTGGATGAAAATAACTGCTCATCCATAGTTAGATTTTCTCCTGTCTTGTAAGAAATTGCACAGTTCTGTATTAATTTTTTCCAAATATCTGAAAAAAGTGCAAACTTGTCACTTTTTAAACGCTGAGTCCCAGTTGACTTCAAGTCAAATCTTTGATATTTCATAATATCTCAAAAACGATTGTGAAACATTGTTTCTTGAAAAAAAAAAGGAGGACCCAATGTATTAATTATTCCACAAAAAAATCATAATCCATATCAACCATGTGCTCCTTTTGCACAAATAGTAGCAATAAAAGCATCAAGCACAAATAATAGCAATAAAAGCATCAAGCTCATCAATCATCTCATAAGCTTCAAAGATATTGTCCAAATTTCTTCATTGTTCAAAACTGCCTATGCTTTCATACAAATTTTAATAGGGCATAACATCAATTCATCCACAAACAACATCCAACCACTCGATACATTGTCCCCGAAATTTCTTTTTGCATATGATGTTGGATCCAGCAATTCTTTTGGCACATTTTGAGATCCATATTTCCCAGCTGTAGTTTGTGAAGTAGATGTCGCAGTCTACGAAGAAAGGTATTTTGTGAATGGAAGAGAAGTATATCCTGTTGTAAATAATCAGTGAATGAAAGGAATGTGTACTCCAGATGTTTTCCAAAGAAAAAGTGTTTTCTGAGTGAGATTAACAAGGTAAATCTACCCAGCATTACTACCAGTCAATATGACTGCTCGTGGCGTTTTTGGGTATAACTAATAAAATCTTAGTTAATTTTAATTTTATTAGATTCATATTTGGTACCAATAATTTTCGAGACTTTGTAGAAAAATCCAACATTTTTTTACTTCTTAAGGTAAAGGGTTTTTTTAAGAATCCAAGGTGAAATGACAAAAGCAGTCAAAATGACTGCTCTTGCACTTCTAGTGTTAAATGCATTGGAAATTAAGTACACAGTTTGCAGTTGCGCACTGCTACATTTCCAAAATCTAAATATGCAGAGTAGAATTGTCATGCACTGATTGGACATGTTTGAGTACACAGGCGACAATTTATCTCAACTGTGTTAACCAAATGTCATTTCGTACTAATTAATTAATGCTTTAACACTTTCTAATTGGTAGTTTTGCTCTATCTCTTTTTGATTTCAATTTGAAATGTCTATCTTCCATATTTCGCCACTAGGGGCACTGCTGTCATTTGCATTATGCCAAACGTAGTCACTTTACTATACCATTACCTCTTGCACAGCTGTAGCTCTCTCCTTTCACAAGAATTTTCAGGTTAAAGGGACTTTTCTATGCACCTTGTATATATGTATTTATAGTATTGTAGGTACACAGTTAGAGAGATAGATGCAGAAACCAGTAAAGCTGCGTTCACACTGGTCTGTTGGGGCAAAAAGCGTCAACGTGAGAAAAAAAAATGCTTTCCGCAAACATCAGTTCACACTAGCGCGGAAACTTTTGCTTTAAAAGTTGTCATATGCTCGCACTAAATGGCTCTTCATATTGGAAACTTGGGAAAATTTGTGAAATTTTTGTGTGGTATTTTGACTTTTTACGATTACATTTTAAAATTAAAATGGATTTAATTTCTGCTCGATTAAAACTTATTTTACTTCTTGCTTTGTGTGAGAGAAGCAGAATTCAGTGATTTATATGTGAGATATATGTGAGAGATGACTTGTAGCAATGGAGATGCAAATTAATTAAACTGAAGAAATGCACTTGAATGAAACGTAATTTCTTTTAATTACTTTCGCATGATACCTCATCAATTTGATGAATTTCTAGCCTCATTTATTCAAAATCAGAACACTAATTTTTGTCAGAATATTGCAGAAAAGAATCATTTGAAAGACAGGCTATCCCAGAAAAGGATCATTGTATATATCTAATTTAATTTATTTAGGAATTCTGTTGAATGATAATTAAAAAATCCTAATTGCATGATTCTATTTTGGAGAGTAAATGTTTCATGGTATAGAATACCATGAATGTTTTTGCATGATGTATGAACTTTCCTTAAATGCTTCCTTAAGTGAACTTCCCATAATGGGTTTAAATAATGCAATAAAAAGTATATTTTATTTAAATATATGTAGGATTTACAGCGTTACTAAATTAAACATCACACTTAGAAAAAAGCAGTTATTTTTAAGTTAATAAACAATAGCAATTTTAAAAAAAAAATGTTTTAGTTTCTGCCTTATATACATATTTTTTACCTTGAATATAACAATAATTACTTCAGTTATATATAAAATGTGTGTAATTCAAATGTAACAGTAATTATTCATATATTAACCCTCAGCTGGAGGGGCTGGCGTATGGTACAATTTTAGAGGTGCAGCATATGAAGTACGCCAGGTCGTTTTTCGAGCCGCTGCTTCGTGTTTGAAACTATTTAATCTTATACATGGCATTAATGAGATGATTCGTCATAGTAAAAGGGATATAAGAAAAGGAATAACAGAAAAAATGCAGTAAAGATGGAAGTTACAAATTTTTAATTAATTCAAAAAATGGAATGCACTGGAAGTGTAATTTAAAGTTATATAGTATTCTGTATTGTTTTCTGTATAAAAATTATAAGATCATAAATCATTTACAAATTATAAATATTCCGTAAAGAAAAGTTCTGTAAGTAGTAAATTTCACAAATGAAAAAATTAAAAACCTTTTGCTACTTTAATCCTCTTCAGATTATCCCTGTTCACTGCAGCAGGGTTTGCAAAGTTGTACTGTCTTGCCGAAAAGATTTTTGTAGGTAAACTTAGAACACTCAAAATATTATATTGGTAGTGTAATTATTCTTCATTCTACCGCACTCAGCGTAGCGTCCTTTGATCTTTTTTGCAGGTGGTTCCTCGTCTTTTTCAGCCGTCTTGTCCGTTTTTGTTGTTACCAGCCTTCTAATAATAGCTTTGGAATACGACAGAAGAAATGGCATTTTTAGACGATTCTGAAAATGTGGTTTCATCAAAGATGTAGTTGGATTTTTCAAAAAAAAATATATTCTAAACTTGATGGTTTTATTACGTTTGGCGAAGTTCAACAACACTTGTGAATTTATGCCCGGTATGTTTAGCAGTGCAAAAGGTATTACCATTGTCCATCTCTTACTTTTTTAGGAAAGTTTTTCGTTTTGGTGAATTTGCTCTTGAAGGAAACTTTATTCCACTTATAAGTTTCCTTTTCTTCTTGCAGAAACTTTCCTCCAACTTTCTTCTTTTTGTAAATTGTTTTTACAAACCTCCTCATATTGTAAAAATCACTTATGTCATTTTCAACTTCACTAAAATCGTCATTTGTTCAGGAAACATCATTTGAGGAAGGAAAATGAGGATGTTTAGAAACATTTCCCTCAATTTCTGAGTGACTTTCATGATCAGAATGTTCGATGACTTCCGATTCATCGACATGAGATGTGTTATCCAAATTGTCGGAGTCTTCATCAACCGAGACTTCTAAAATGCGCAGATAATCTTCAGGAGGTACAATATTCTTTCTGTAAATACTTGGAGGAGCGGCATACTGCATTCGCCCATGCGACATGTTCACAATAACTGCTTTCGGGAGAAAGGCGAAAACCAGATTGACCAGAAATACAAGATGCATTGCACTCAGGGAATGTTTCTAGGATGGTAGAGGAAGGAAAGGAATTCAGGAAGGAGTTGTCTAAAAATTACAGCCCAAAAGATGGCATTGGCATACTCTGTACGCCGGCTCCTCCATTGCAGGGTTAATGAACAGCCACTATATAAAGGTTTATTTTATAAGGTCACTTTTATTTAAAATTCATTGAAGTAACTTCATTAAACCTCTGGTTAAATTTGTATATAAATTGTTCTAAAAGTGGTCATGCATGTTAAGAAAAACAAATGTGAAGCCGTAAATATGCATAGAAGTATTACATAAAATCAGCTACATACTAGCAAGCTTCTTTTCTGGATAAACAACAGTTTTCTTAGTTTTTTTAAACAAATGGTTTACTAGTCACCACTCATTTAAAATCCAGATCTCTCTAAATTTTTTAATTAGATAAAACAGCAGCTTTATACTAATACCATTATCGCTTTTGCTAGTCACGTGTCAACCGAAATAGATAGTAGTCAGATCATTTTATGAATTATCCCTAAGGCTTGTTGTCAAAAGAAGGATAATGCACGCAATGCCTAGTGAAAATTAGATTTATATGAATGAAATGAAATGAAAAATAAATGCAAGCTTCTTGTGCCCTCCCCCCCCCCAAAAAAAAGTCGCGATAAATATTAAAAAGAAAAAAATTGGTATATTCATACCATCATCAAAGGTAGGAAAAGACAAGCCCGAACCCACAATACAAGCCTCTAGTACACGCTGAATTTTCTGCTTGAGTGTGTTATTACTTCACTTAGGTATCTTGCGGGTAAGTATGGTTTTCACACTTCACCTTCAGGAAACTGAAGAAGTATCTGGACTACCCTGAAACTAGCAATAATATTTTCTGTAAATATATATATATATATATATATATATATATATATTTTTTTTCAAATACCAACTCCATTACAGCACCACTCCTGGTGACACTTGAATCCAAAATCTCTAACTCAAGAAGCCAATGTTTTATCCACTAAGCAACAAGAGCAACCTTAAATTGATGCAGATATATTTTAAGAAAAATTCAAATTCTGGGATTTCGAAATCCATCACTATTTTAACACAACAATCTATTCTTCAATCTATTGATTGTTAAGGTTTAATTTTGCTAATAAACTTGAGAATTTTCCTTTAAATAATAATTTATAAAGCTATTTATTCTATAAGCATATGCATTTTTTTATTATTATTATCTGATTTTATTATCATCAAGAATTTTTGAAAGTGTAATCATTTAAAAACCATGGTATAAACAGGTCATTTGATACAAAATGGCTGAAACTGATGCATCAAGTGTTGAAAAGTTAAAATTAAGTCAACTCACGCATTCTCCAGTCGTCCGGAAAATGCCGCCTCTGATCTTGCTTCTGATTGGTCAACGCTTTCCGCCCGAACACGCGACTGCAATGGTGTGATTGGTTAATTTTAGGTTCTTTTGTAGCATGGAAAGATCTCGAATTTGAGAGAACAGATGAATTTAGGGGGAGAGAACATAAAATCTTAGAATAGTTAGTTTTGAGGTTGCCAATCGTTTCTTAAAGCAACCATCATATTTTGTTATATCTTATATATATATTATATATATATATCAGCTTCTGTGCTAATTGCTATATCAATTTTTAGTTGCAATAGTCACACTTACCCTAATTTTAAAAGAGTTATAAGAAAATTTTAATATTTTTGTAAGCAAACTATCTGTGTTCATAAAGAGCAACAATATTGTTTGTAAATTAAAAATTTTATAATCATTTGTATCTGTTTCTTATAGTCACCGTTGTTCGCTGTCTGGTCAGGATTTAAATCGCCAGTGGATTACGCCTAATATGCATTTGCATCCTTCAATCTTCTACACAAAATCCTTAATACACTATATTGTTTCTAAGAACAAGAAACCCCAAGTATGTGAAATAACCTTTTTTAATTTTTTATATGTATAATATACCATAGCTGGATGGCTTTATGTAACATTCTCATTTAGTTTTTATTACTCTTCTTGTATAATTTAAATTTCAAAGAAGTAAATGAAGATTTCATCATTCTTTTGTTTGTTATATATTTAATAAGCTGAATTTTTTAAAAAATAAATAATAGCTAATCTGAAATACTATTATTTGCTTTGCACTGCTACCAATAAAATTATTCACAAAGCTTTGGAATGCAACACCACAATGACCTTGACAGAGTATGTGAAGAAGGATACTACTTCAGAGAAGTCGGGAGAGGAATTGGAAAGGGGGATGTTTCTGAAATGGAGAAAGTAATTAATGTGCGGTATTTGCTCGTGTTTCTGTTTGAGTAAAACATATTTTTTATTTATTTTGTGTCTTCCATTTTCGTTTACTGTTTGCAGTAGGTGCCAGGAATAAAGAAAGATATAACGAATGTTTCAAACGAATTTACCTTTTTTTGATGAACTTCTCGTGCTTCATATTGTTTCTGAAACTAACCATTTTGGAGACCAGTATATAAACTAATATCCTGAAAAATAAAAATCAAGAACAAAATTGTGCCATTCAATCAGTTCAGAAGAATTAAAAAAAAAATTTTTTTTTAGGTATACTGATTTCATAAGGTATAACACTGAAACATGATATAACACCTTACTGGTCTAAAAATAAATTAATCTAAACTCCATTTTGGGGGATCTTTTTTATTATACAAACATAATTTTTATTATACTTACATCATTTTATTATATTTTTACTCCAAACATTACATTTTCTGCTTTATTTTGTGAAAATAAACAATTTTTAGAAGGTAAAACTTGCACTTATTTTCTCCCTAATACATCACATAACTACGCCAGTGTGATAAACGGTGGCACTGGGAAGTGAATTTTCTACTAAAGCTACTTTATTTTTTTAACTACTGCCAAAGTATTTTTTTTTAATTATTGAAATTTATTCAGTAGTTATCAAGAGAATTGTGCATTAATTCAAGTTTTTTACATGGGATCTTATTTGTGAAATGGCATAAATATTACATTTTTTTATTTTTATTTCTTGTAACTCTTTAAAAAATAATTGTAAGGCGACGTAATCTTAAATCATACCTTATTTTGATCACTTTTACAATGTATATTATCAATTAAAAAGTTAAAGTATGTTTTAACTTTTTGGGGGACACTCTGTATACAATATGTCTGCGAATGGAAAATCGTATCATAAGTAATCCCTCGTTTCGAGCTTTTACTGAAGGCTTTATAAAAGTCTTTAATAGAATCATATTAAAGGACATTTCGGACTTTTACCAAGCCGCTTTGGTAAAAGCTAAGTTTTGCCAGTAAAAACCTAGGATTTACAGGAATTTGGCCTTTTACAATAACATATACATGTAAATCAAAAACTACACTTCCAAATATTTTTCACAACTGACTTTAAAATCTTTCTGTTATGTATCTTATTTTTTCCCTGTCAGACTATTCTTCCTGTAATTTGTGTTGATATTTAAGTAATCATTTTGCTTTTAAAATAATCGTATGAAATTTTGAAATCTGATTTGGGATAAAAATAATTTTTTAACTACCATTTTGATAATCTATATATATTTACATATAATGCAAACAAAATTTTGGAGTATTAATGTAAAAAACACTGAGACATAGAAACGCAGATATTCTGATGATGACACATGTATATGGCACATTGAAGAGTATCCATACTGAAGAGGAAAAATTCTGATTGCATAGAATACCGAAATGCCGATCCACAATGAATAAGAAACTTGGCAGTCGAGGCAGATTAAATCTTCATTTTTTTTTTAAATTCACATTTGTGGCCACAGTCTTCTTGGCACTCCAGTCATACTTATTTCCAGAACATTTACATTTTTGATACTATTGCAGTAGGAAGAAAAGCATAGCACAAGAGCATTCAAGCAGCACACAGAGAGAAGCTGAACTGCACGTTTATACATTATGGCCAGCTTGTTAAGAGAAAGGTTTTGGTTTAGGTTAGAAAGGTTTTACTTATCAGAGTTTAAGTTTTAACTACATCATCAGTGTTACATAAGCTCTGGCATAGATTTATGTGGAAATGAAGCAGTTCAGAAATGTTATTAAATTTTTTACAATAAAGAGGTAATAACCAAATTTTTTTAAAAAAATTAAAGGCTATTACTAAATTTATACTATAATTAATTACTATAAAACTTATTTATATTTTTTTATCGTACTTATCATATATGATGACTTGGAGTAAGCTGGAATGGACTGACAAATGGTTCTCTGAATTACAAATTGGAGAGACCTTTATTGTGTAGTTAGAAAGATAACACTTGAAGGATAGACTTGTAATCAGACGTTGCCGAATTGTTTATAATTTTTATTACTGGTGATGAACTAATTGTTGAAAATATATTTTTCGGCACCACTGATCATTGATGCAATACACACCCCACACTTTTTGTACAGAGTATCATATTTTAGATAACAGCATGATAAAGCATAGGCAACAAAGTTGCATCTTGACTGCAAGAGAGCTGAAGTGAAAATACACAATTATCCAGTATGGAGGAAGGTTGAAGAGAAGGTTTTGTTTAGATTAGAAAATTTTCAGCTGTCAAAATTTGGAGTTCAAATTCTGAATTAGCTATGTCATCAGCATCACACAAACCATGCAAGATGGATTGATCTAGAAATAAAGCAGTCCAGAAAAGTTATTACAGTTTTCAGAATAGAGGGGTAATTAGGGGTTATCACAAGTTTAAATTATAATTTTGATTTGCATATTTTTTATATAATTTTATCCAAATATATGTATGGAAAGATTATATATATATATATATATATATATTTCTTATATATGCATACATGTAGTATAAGAAATTTTAGCAATAATTAAAAATTGTTTGAAAATTAATCTTTTTTGAAAATGATTTCAAAATTGTCTTGAAATTTATTTTATATTCTATAAGTAACCAAATTTTTTTAATATGTGAGTCATATAGCACTGCACTCGAAGAAAAGTAACATAACTGCAAATAGGTTAGGTTAGTTAGCTGTTAAGGCAGAGTAATTCAAGAACTATCTGTATATGGAAAGGGATGTCTTCATGAAGGACTGACTGTTCAAAGTAAACAGTATTGTATTCACATTGCATGTGAAACTTAAGAACTTTACAGAAATTAAAAAATAGAAATGAATGCATTAATTTTTTAACTGAATTTCTCAGTGAATTCATTTTTAAAGTATAGTGGAATATTTAATATAGCAAAGAAATGTAATAAACTTAAATAACGCAAAACTGAAAGAAGCAGAAAATATCTTGAATAATCTAAAATTCGACTTACTGATAAAAGTTAATATGAATTTCCAGTACTACATTTTGACTTTTTCATAACTCATAAAAAAATTGTATTATATTTATTTAATTAATAATTAAATAGAATACAAATTTGTGTATTTGTTACAAATGAATTATTTGTGTAAACCATCTTTGAATTTTAAATTGTGAGTATGTAAATTCTCATGCAATAAAAATATTTCTTTGGCCAACTAATATTTATTGTAATGAAATTTTATTATGTTTTGCTAAGTGATTCTGTATTCGAAAGTTAGAAAATAACTTTTTAGCTGAAGTTTATTAACAGATAATTACTTTTAATATATTTATTTAATTAATATGAATTATTTTATCTTCATAGTTGAAAATGTGTATTTATTATTATGAAAAAGTAAAAATCAGTTGAAAAAATACTTTTTTATTCATGTAAAAATATTGATATGTTAGAAAAGTGCATAATTTTTGTTTTTTCAATACAAAAGTTAAGACCATAGGTATTGATGGCCACAGAATGGTTTTTGAGTGTTAGTTTAAAGCTGTTATGTAATTAATTTAGCTATAAATAACTAGTATAATTAGTTTTATGTACTGTAGGAAGGCTTCTCATCTTCTAATTTCTATTATGTGTTATGGCAAATCTCCGTTCTGTTATGCATTGTATATTTATTTGATGTTTAACTTTTGACTAGCATTCAATGATTTTCTGAAACTCTCTATATCAACTTTCTTTGATAGAAAAGAATCGTTTATTTGTAAGTCAGACAAAATTAGGCGATTTAAAATATTTCAATGACTGCAGCCTTTTCCTAATTGCTTGAAAAATTTATGAAGTACTATCTAAATTTTTGAATGAAAAACAGATTTTTTGTCTTCTTTTATAGATCTGTTTTAAGAGTAAAAAATTTGATTTAATTCATTCTTATTGTGATCATATATATCTGTAAAACTTAGGTATTTTGTGATTATCATGGCCACTCCAGAAGGAGCAATGCTTTCTTTTTCGGTTGTAACCCAGAACAGTCGTGGTGGCCAAGTGATGAAACAAAACAAGATTGTGAGAGCTTTAAAGTATGTATATAATGTGTATGTTAAGTAGAGTATGAATATTTACTTTTCATAATTAACATTGTAAGCTTAGTTACCCTTTCAAGATGTAGTTAGTATTGTGTGAATTACTAAATATAGCTCATTGCTTGTTTTTATTTTTTATATGATATTTTATTTTACAGATATTGCCAGTTATAATGAATGAGATGGCACCAACATTTAGCCTTGATGATTGTGAATTCAGTGTAGAAAGAAGTCGAGAATCAACTGGCAGAGTCACAGTATGGCGACAGTTTGATGTTGCTCTCAGCTACACTTTAGAATGTTCATATGGAGGATGTAATCAAGGCAAATATGCTGTAAGCAATTTTTAAACTGAAGAGCAGTTTTTATGTGATTATTGTGCTTAAAACGCAAGTTGTAAAACTTTTGATTTATTTTGTTTCAAATAAAGGAAAACACATTTAAATATTAAGAAAGAAAAAAAGTTTGAGGGGGTTGCCATCTGTAGTTGCTAAATTAATAAAAAAAAAATTTTATTGTTTTTCCTGTCTAGTTTTTGATGCAGTGCTCCAAAATCCACTTCAGACTGCAATACTTTTCACTTTCATGATTTGCCAAAGTTCCTTTTTTGCAATAGTTTGAAATATTTATTTTCTCCTTACTATCAAATAAAATTTGCATTATTCCTAGGGAATCAGTGGAGGATAAAATTTTTATGTATTAAAATTTTTGTTACTAAGCATTTAAAAAGTTACTAGCTTTTTCAAATAATTACTTTTTTATTTCATGTTATTACTTTATCTCATAGTTATCCTAAGTAAGCCAATATTGACTTATCCAAGTTTTGTGTTTCATAATTATTACATTTAATTTTTATTTAATTATGTCATTTTGAAAAATTGCTTTCTCTTTTAAATTGATTATTATTTGTAGTGATTTTGTTTTTAAAGAATCAATATAAATATTTAAATTTTATTATTGATCTAATAAAATATTAAATGAAGTCATGTCACAAACATTTTGAAACTATGAAATTTTATTTTATAAATTTTGATCCATGTCTTATAATACAGGGTGATTATAATTAAAGTTTAAGTTTCAAAACGCTATAAAAAAAGAACCACTCATGAAAATGACGTCAAATTTGAAAGGAATGTTATTGAAGAAGGCGGAAAGCGTATGGCAGAAGAAAAAATTTAGTTTCAAAAGTTAGCAACAGATGGCGCTGCAAGCGGAAGAAGACGTAAATTAAAATTTTAGTTAAATTTCAGTGTTATAAAGCCGCCAGGTACCAGGCTGTTCCTCATTTCGCGTCTCAGACGTTCGCCATGGGTGTTTCACTGCAGGACCGCGCTCTGCTGGTAAAGCTGTATTACAAGAATGATGATTGTGCAAGAGTAGCTCTGCAAAAATTCAGGACACTGAAGGGTATAAAAGAAAGGCGTTGGTCCAATGAGTGTCGTAGGTCTAAAGAAAATGATGCAAAAATTCGAAACGACAGGTTCGTTTGATGTGCAATCTGGTAGAGGGAGAAAACGAGTGCATTCGACGGTAGTTGAAGAAGTGGCCACAGCATTACAGGAGGGGTCGGCCGTGGTGTGCAACCGTGCAGTGCACGAGGAATTGCCCGAACATTGGACAGGCCTACGAGCACGGTGCTGAAAATTGTATACGAAACATCCTGCAATGCTATCCGTACAAAATTGGCCATGTGCAGGAGTTGCTTCCGTCCTGACCTGACAGCTAGGGAGACGTTTGCGTTAGAATTCCTGGCTCGCATGGAAGTGGATAATGAATGGCCGTGGAAAATTTTGTGGACAGCCCATTTTCATCTGACAAGATACGTGAATACCCAGAATTGTCGAATATGGGCAACAGAAAATCCACTCGCAACGCACCCCGTACCACTTCATCCTGAAAAGGTCACGGTATGGTGTGGCTTTACGGCATCATTCATCCTACAACCCCCTTTTTTTTTTTTTTGGAGCAGACGATTGCTTCCGGTCCTGTTACCGCAACCGTCACTGGTCAGAGATATGCGTCTCTTTTGCGCAACCACGTGATTCCAGCTCTGCAACAGCGTGGATGTGTGGATGAAATCATTTTTATGCAAGATGGCGCTCCTCCGCACATTGCACATCCCGTGAAGCAGCTGCTGAGGCGCCATTTCGGAAATGCTCGAATTATCAGCCGTCATTTCCCTACAGCCTGGCCGTCCCGATCGCCTGATCTTACTCCGTGTGATTTCTGGCTGTGGGGATATCTGAAGGATGTTGTGTTCCGTGCTCCAATTGCAAATTTAGCGGAATTAAAGGCACGCATTTCGCAACACATTCTGAACATCACCCCGGAGACACTGCGATCCGTTGTGGAACATGCTGTTTGTCGCTTTCAACTTGTTGCACACAACGGTGGACACCATATTGAACATGTTTTGTGCCAGTCTCGCGACAGTTCCGAACTTCTTTGATGAATGGTTCTTATGCGGTATGTCGCCGCAAAACTCTTGAAACCGATTTGTCCCTTTCGATGTGATATGTACAGTCATGCAAATAAAATTATTCAACAATTCTAATTTGTCAATGCGTTTTAATGTGTAACTTCTACCTTAGCCATTGTTTTACGAATCGTTTATCGTTTCTCGTCGTGATTCTGCCGCTTACAGCGCCATCTGTTGCTAACTTTTGAAACTACATTTTTTCTTCTGCCATACGCTTTCCACCTTCTTCAATAACATTCCTTTCAAATTTCACATCATTTTCATCAGTGGTTCTTTTTTTATAGCGTTTTGAAACTTAAACTTTAATTATAATCACCCTGTATTTTGAGTATTTTGTAAATGATGATTTAATTTGATTTCATCCTTTCGGAAACAAATAGATATGCCGAATAAAGCCAAAATTCTTCAGGATTGTACCTATCCAAAAGCAGAAAACTTTGGGTACCTGTCACAAAGGAGGAAATTCTTAAATTTCTCAGTGTAGTTATTTTACAAGGTAGTGTAAGAAAACCAGATACAAAAATGTATTGGAGCAAAAAAAACATTAAATTTCAACACATTTTTTCAGAAGCATAATGCCTTGTAATAGATTTTATGAAATACACAAGTTTCTGCATTTTTGTAGCTAATGAAACTTCTGATTGTAACACACATCCTAATTCCAAGCTGTCTAAAATCTGGCCAGTGCCAGAGCACCTGAATGAATTGTCTCAAAGAACTGTAATGCCTGAACGTGATATTGCAATTGATGAAACCCTCATGCTCTTCAAGAATAGCGACAATATATGCCAAAAAAGAGATTCTGTTTTGGAGTAAAATCATATTTGTTATGTGAATTAAGTTCAGGGTATATACACTCGAAAAGGTAAGGTTTTTGATGCAAAATATAAAGATCTGCCCCAGTCAATTCAAGTTGTGATGTCATTTACAAGCCCCTGCTTAAACAAGAATACTTTCTGATAACAGACAATTTTTATACTTCTCCAGAATTGACAGACATGCTTTTAAAATTTCAAACAGACGGTTATGAAACTATAAAACTAAACCGAACTTAAATGCCTCAAGAACTGGTAAAAAAGGGAATCACAAAAGGTGAAAATGTTGCTTTTCGTTGAGGTAAAGTTCTTACCATGAAATGGAAGATAAGAAAGATGTTACCATCTATCTGCAGTCCATGCAAATGACATGGTAGATGTACAGTGTCATAACAAAGTAGTCAAAAAAACCTACAGTTGTCACAGATTACAGTAAAAATATGGGAGCAGTATATTGTAGACCAATAGCTTGGAGATTACTCTGTAGATCGAAAAAGAGGAAAGAAATATGTATTATAAGAACATATTTTTTCATTTGTTAGATCAATCTTTAAGAACTCTTATCTTATTTACAAAAAACAAGGTGGAAAAACATCCCATTAGATGTTTCGTTTATTTTTAATATATGAACTTATTGAAATGCATCAGTCATCAGACATTCCAAAAAAAGGCTGGTCGAGCTTGAAGGATAATCCAAACCATTTGATTGAAAGACAGATATCCCAAACTGTTAAGAAACGACAACCATCAAAAGAATGCAAAATTTATTGTTCCAGAAGAGATGAAAACAATATTGTGACATTGGCCTTTGCATCTCATGCTTTGAAATTTGTCGCACAAGAAAAAATTACTTATCATTTTGTATTATGCTGAAGTATATTAAAATTCTTTTTCAATGTTTAAACACATATTTCTTAAATTTTCCTGGCTTGCTGGAAAACCAACATTCAGTCATATTAACCTTGAATGTTGGCTTTTCCTGAAAAATGTAATTTTTTAAAAAAATTCAAAAATTAAAAATGAATACATATATTGTAGATACACATAATTTTAGACAATTTTCTTGAATTAAAAAAATAGGCACTTTTATGACTATTTTCTTGAAAATTATTTGATCGTTAACCTCGTAAAGCCGGCGGTACAGCAGTTGTACCAGGAAAATGACTTTCTTTAATGCCGGCTGTGGTACAACTGCTGTACCAGCCATCCCCTCCCTATTTTAGAGAATCACCAATCTGTAGATCTCTGGGTGGTCCATTGTCGCTGCTCAGAATAGCCGCTGGCTACACTTTGTTTCCCTCTTCTTATCAGTTTGGCTACATTTTGGCAAAAACCGCAGGTTTCATCTTGTGCCAATATACTTGAAAATCAAATAGAAGCCATCTCTTTCTCAAACGTTAGAACACTGTCTCATAATTTTAGTGCTAACTTTTTTAGTACTAACTTTTGCTATGATTAAAACGTCAGCGATTTTGCATGCTGTTTAAGCTTACCAGATTTAATGCATTTTAATCATAGCAAATAAGATTAGATTAATATTTTAGATTTAATGCCCTTCTAGAAAGGTAAAACCGCTTTTATCATATACTTCCTTTTTATATGTATGAATAATAAGATGTTATTTTGACCTTTTTTTTTTTTTTTTTGAGTGCATAAAACCCTTAAGAACTATTAACTCTTTCAAAGTGCTTCTATTATGTAGGGAATTTTGTGTGATTTATCAGGAGATAAATAAGAGACAACTGCATGCATAATAGTTTTTGTGATCTTCATTCATTCAATGATTGATTTCAATGATTTCATTCAATCATTGCTTTGAATGATTTTCATTCATTGTAAATTAAATAAAACCAATTTATCTTTAGACCCTCTTTTAGGATGGCATCTGCCAAAAAGTATTTAAATATCATTAAAGCTCACATAACTTATACTAAATTGTATCAAAACATCAGTTAATTTGCATAAAATTTCGGCCAGTTTTATTTGCTGAAATTCTTATACTCCTCAAGAGATAAAGGGAATTCAGACAAGTTAATAAAAA